CCCCCCCCCCCCCCCCCCCCCCCCCCCCCCCCCCCCCCCCCCAAAAAGGCGGAGGAGGGCGAGCGCGCGGAGGCAGAGGTCAACTTCAAGCTGGTGGGTGAGGCGTACGCGGTGCTCAGCGACCCCGCCAAGCGCCAGCGCTACGACGCGGGCTGGTCCAGCACCGAGATCGAACCTCTCCCCACTCCCCCCCGCCCCCCCCCCCCCCCAAAAACCGGCGGAGGAGGGCGAGCGCGCGGAGGCAGAGGTCAACTTCAAGCTGGTGGGTGAGGCGTACGCGGTGCTCAGCGACCCCGCCAAGCGCCAGCGCTACGACGCGGGCTGGTCCAGCACCGAGATCGAGAGCGGCTGCCCCGAGGGTGGCTGCTGCGGCGGCGGCGGCAGCGGCGGCGGCGTGCCCACCGACATTTTCGCCCAGATGTTCCAGCGCGGCAACGGCTTTGGGCCGAGCTACGGCGGCGGGCCCACCTTCGCATCGGGGCCCCAGTTCAGGGCGCGGTGGTGATTTGGGTCTTGGCACCCAACCCCGGCGCTGCGAGGCGCCATGGTGCTCTGGGACACCGTGGGTGCTACCCTTCCGTCTCAAGGGAGGAGCCCTTCGGCCCTGGCCTGCGAGGTCCTTCCCCCCTTCAGTAACTCAATCGCTGGGCCTGCGGCGTGGTCCCGCTCCAGTCCCATCTGCTGATTCAAATACAGTGTGCAGCGTGTGTACAGCCGCAGTCAAGGCTCAATAGAACCGGCTGACAAAGCCCAGCTTCTTCAGGATCTTGGCGTATGTGCTGTGCATGATCTTGGGCTGCCCCAGCTCGCGCCGCTGCCGATTGGACTTGTTAAACCGCTTGTGCACGTGGCCAGCGCGCTGGTACTTGATCTTGCCCGTGCCTGTCGTCCTGAACCGCTCCTTGAAGGCCCTGATGGGGGAAGGAGGTGGGGTTGAGGGGCCCCTCTGCGGCGAGGCACCGCACCGCGCACGCTGTGCCTCCCCTTGCACACGTTGCGCAGACCCGCCAGCCCCTGGCTCACTCCCCAATCACTCACGAGGAAGGTTTTAGCTTGCCGCCGGTGTGGGGGGGCATGGGGTTGTGCGCCATTCCTCGCATCTGCTGGGCCAAGCACGGTCCAGCTGTGGGGCAGAGTGGTGCCGTGGCAACGTCCGCAGCCCTGGGCAGGCCCCGGGTCAGGGTTCCACCAATGCAGGTTGCTAATGATCTCAGGGAGCCCAGCTGCTGTGGTGCAGCGCCAGTGCAAGAGACTGCGACCGACTCGTGCGCTATCGTCCGCGACAGGGCTGGACGAAGGACCGTGCAGAGTGCAGCCCACGACATGTCACCTGGAAGCGACGCAATATGCTATTTGTACCAAGTTCTAGTGTGTTATACTTCATGCATTCGCTGTCTGATCCGTCACATAGCAGGCTCATTCGTTTCGACTTGTTCTGACACAGCGACCCAGCAGGGAGGGAAGGGGGCCTGGGCGATTTGACCTGGTCAGGGGGTCCTCCTCCCTTGCTGCGTGCTTTCCATCGCTCCTTGCAAAGCCGGCCGCACCGTCGACTTCGGTCTCTTTTGTCTAGGGGTGGCGGTGGAGCCTTAGCCCGTGTTGTCAACATGGGTGAGTCGCACGGAGAGGGCAGACTGGGATGACTGGCGGGCGCCACCCGGCGCCAGCCGGCGGGTGGCATCACCTCCCCGAGCGAATGCCCGGGGGCGTGATAGCCATCCGTACAGCACCGGGGTGGGATGCTGGGACGCTGCAAGGCGAGTGGGGCGCATGTGTGTCGTGTCTCGTGCTTCACGCAGTTCCCCGGGCCTTCCCTCCCCAGGTATCTCCCGCGACTCTCTCCACAAGCGCCGGGCGACCGGTGGGAAGCAGAAGGCATGGCGCAAGAAGCGGAAGTGAGTAGTCTTCCTGCTGCAGTCCCTCTCCCAGCGGGCGTTGGGGGTGCTGCATCTCCCTGGGGAGTGTGCTGTGCTGACTCCCCCTTTGCCTCCCCCTGCCCCCCACCCACCACCCCCACCTCCGATGCTCCGCCCAGATACGAGCTCGGACGCCAGCCCGCCAACACCAAGCTGTCCAGCAACGTGACCGTGCGTCGCGTGCGCGTGCGCGGGGGCAACTCCAAGTTCCGCGCCCTGCGCCTGGACTCTGGCAACTTCTCCTGGGGGTCTGAGGCCACCACCCGCAAGACGCGCATCCTGGACGTGTCCTACAACGCGTCAAACAACGAGCTGGTGCGCACCCAGACCCTGGTGAAGAACGCCATCATCCAGATCGATGCCGCGCCCTTCAAGCAGTGGTACCAGCAGCACTATGGCGTGGAGGTGGGCCTGAAGAAGCGGTCCGCCGCCGCCGCGGCCCCCGCCGAGGAGGTGAAGCAGTCCGACCACGTCCAGCGCAAGCTCAAGCTGCGCAACAAGGACAGGACCCTGGACCCCCTGCTGGACGAGCAGTTCTCCGTGGGCCGGCTGTACGCCTGCATCTCCTCCCGCCCGGGCCAGTGCGGTCGCGCCGACGGCTACATCCTGGAGGGCAAGGAGCTGGAGTTCTACCTCAAGAAGATGCAGAAGAAGAAGGGCAAGCAGACGGCATGAGTGCTTTGCTGTAACGTCCCCTTCCTTGCTTCAGTTAGGGAGGGATGGCCGGGCCACGAGGGAGGGGTGTTCCGGGTTTCCACCTCGGAGGAACATGGTCTTGGGACCACTAGGGAGGTGGGACTCGGACTACCATTTCAGGCATCGCTGACCGGAGCCATCGACGCTAGAGAACATCAGGGCCCAGTTGAGTGCATACGCGGATCTTGTCGACATCACACGCGGTGTCCAGTCTCGGCAAGGATGGTCCGCACCAAGACTTTCAAGGAGGAACACCCGCTCGGTGCGTCAGGGGGTAGACGAGCACATGTGACCCCGTGCATCGCGCAGAATTTAAAATCAAAGAGCCTCGCTCCAACCCCTCCCTGGCCCGCAGAGAAACGCCAGGCTGAGGCCACAAGGATTCGCGAGAAGTATCCCGACAGGATTCCGGTGAGTGCCCTGCCCTCCCACGACACGCATCCATGCCCTTCACATGCTCTGAAAAATTCCCATGACCCGTGGACTGCCCCCCGCAGGTCATCGTCGAGAAGGCGGAGAAGAGCGACATCCCTGACATTGACAAGAAGAAGTGGGTGTGGTTGGCGAGGTACCCGCCCTTTGGCCCTCGTAATCCTGCAGATGCGCTCAATCGCCTTGACTGCGCACCCCGCAGGTACCTGGTGCCAGCAGACCTGACCGTGGGCCAGTTCGTGTACGTCATCCGGAAGCGCATCAAGGTCAGCCCCGAGAAGGCCATCTTCATGTTTGTTCGCAGCGTTCTTCCCCCAACAGGCACGTGTATTGATGGATTTGAGACAGTGCTGCGGGGAGAGGCATCACAACTGGCGTGCTCGTGCACATCACTCAGTGCCCTGGAGTTGGGCGGTGGACTGGGTCGGGCTGTCGTATCTCAAAGGGAGGCCTCGTACAACACACACTTACACACACACACACACACACACACACACACACACACACACACACACACACACACACACACACACACACACACACACACACACACACACACACACACACACACACACACACACACACACACACACACACACACACACACACACACACACACACACACACACACACACACACACACACACACACACACACACACACACACACACACACACACACACACACACACACACACACACACACACACACACACACACACACACACACACACACACACACACACACACACACACACACACACACACACACACACACACACACACACACACACACACACACACACACACACACACACACACACACACACACACACACACACACACACACACACACACACACACACACACACACACACACACACACACACACACACACACACACACACACACACACACACACACACACACACACACACACACACACACACACACACACACACACACACACACACACACACACACACACACACACACACACACACACACACACACACACACACACACACACACACACACACACACACACACACACACACACACACACACACACACACACACACACACACACACACACACACACACACACACACACACACACACACACACACACACACACACACACACACACACACACACACACACACACACACACACACACACACACACACACACACACACACACACACACACACACACACACACACACACACACACACACACACACACACACACACACACACACACACACACACACACACACACACACACACACACACACACACACACACACACACACACACACACACACACACACACACACACACACACACACACACACACACACACACACACACACACACACACACACACACACACACACACACACACACACACACACACACACACACACACACACACACACACACACACACACACACACACACACACACACACACACACACACACACACACACACACACACACACACACACACACACACACACGGATTTTCATGCAGCCGCCCTCATGGCCGATGTGTATGCTGATCACAAGGACGACGATGGGTTCCTGTACATCACCTACAGGTTTGTGTTGCTGTGGCTGGGCTGGGCTTCTGTCTCATTTCCTGGGTAACTGATGTCATTCCTCTTTCCTTCAAGCCAGGCATCATTTGCCTGCACTGGGCCTCAAGTTCACCATATTATCCCATTCCACAGCGGGGAGAGCACCTTTGGCTGCTAGGCCTCTTAGAAAGGGCAGCCCCGCCCTGCGCTCGAAGCCCCTGTACCAACGTGGCTGCCAAGAACTTGTACTTTGACGGTGCCCCATCCCTGTACCTACCTCGCCATGATGTGTGTACCCGTGGCCCTGGATGGGGGCCCTCCCAACCACACCCTCCCCCCCGCGTATGTCCTGCCCTTCACATGTGAGATGTACCTGTCTCCCGGGGACGAGCGGCGCGGCGCATGGGTGCTGGCCCCGCTTACACCCACGCGCACAGCAAGTGATCAGGGGCGGGATGGCTCCTCGGTACAGTAGGAAAATGCGCCCTCTCGGCTTGAAAACCAGGGGGGAATGCCGCCCCCTGCCCGGCCCCCACCCGCGCGTGGGTGGCCCCCCTCCCTGCTGTGCGGGACCCCTCACAGGCTGGGGGTGAACTTGGTGGCGAAGGCCCAGGCATTGTTCGCGCCGGGGTCGGCCAGGTGGTCGCTCAGGTTCTGGATGGGGCCCTTGCCCGTGACCACGGCCTGGACGAAGAAGCCGAGGGCGGCCACCATGGCCAGGCGCCCGTTCTTCAGCTCCTTGACGCGCAGCTCGGCGAAGGTCTCGGGGTCGTCGGCCAGGCCCAGGGGGTCGAAGTAGGTGCCGCCGGGGTACAGGTTGTCGAGGCCGTCGGACCAGTCGAAGGGCCCGCCGCTCACGCGGTAGCCCTCCACCGCGCCCATGAGCAGCACCTGGATGGCCAGGGTGGCGATGATGGACTGGGCGTGCACCAGGGAGGGGTTGCCCAGGTAGTTGAGCCCGTCAGGGGAGAAGATTTGGGCGCCGGCCTTGAACCACACGGCCTCCTGGAACTGCACGCCACTGTACTTCTGCAGGATCTCAGGGAAGACGATGCCGAGCGTTCCTGTGTGGGCGAGTGAAGGTGGGGAAGGGAGTGGGCGGAGGTTGCATCGGCACGGCAGGGGAAGCCGAATGGTGCTGGCCATGGGAGTACAGGGGGCCTGTGACAGCTGGGACAGCCCAGAGTGGTACAGATGCAGGAGAGTCTAAGGCAGGTCCATACCTTCCAGTGGCTGCCTCCCCCCCCTGCGCCCATTTCCTCGCAACGCCCTCCCCATCCCTCGATGGATTCAGCCAAAGATGCGACTTCACAACCTCTCCCAGAACGCACCCAGGGTGGCCCAGCGGCAGTGAATGACCTCGATCACCCTGTAGCGGGCAAAGGTCTCGGGGTCGGCAGACAGACCGGCCGTGTCCCAGCCGTAGTCGCCTGGGAGGGGCAGGGACAGGGCGTGCATGAGCCGAGCAGGGATCACATGCATGAGCCGAGCGGAGCAACAGCAGGGCTCGGTGAACGAGCCGGCCCAGCACGTCAAGACGCCATACCGCCGACAGCAGGTGATCGCCAGCAACCAGCACATGATTGTCAGCCACCACAACCCCATCGCCAGCCACCAACACCCGATCGCCAGCCACATGGAAGTTGGCGACATACCAGCAAACTCTCCGTTCAGGTAGCTGGGGGTGATGCCATCAGAAAAGGGGCCCAGGAACTTGGGGCGGTCGGGGCCGTACCTGCGGCGGAGGGAGGAGAACACCGGGGGTGGAGGCGCGTTTGCACAGGCCATGGTGCAGGTGCGGGGAATCCACCGGCTCCGATCATGCGCGAAGATTCTACAACCGGCCAACTCACCAGACACCCTCCGACACCTTTGGCTTCTGCTGCTGTAATGATCAGGGGGGGAGGTATATACTTAGTATGAGCAGCGGTACGGAGGCGAGCATGCATAGTACACATGATTCCGGTTCGCGGCCCGCCCCGGGGCCCACCTTCAGCGTGCGCCTCATGGTGGTCACCGCACGCTGCGTTGGGGGGAGTACAAGTTGTTCAATGAGATGAGCATCGATGATGGGACATGCAAGGGCGTTCGAACTCTTAAAACAAGGGTTCCGACAGCACACCTTGCCGGTGCTGGCCTGCGCGGCGACCTGGGGCCGCAGCGCGGTGGCATTGCCGAAGAAGGTGGAAGCCTGCATGACTTCGTTTGCTTCGATGAATGGAGTTTAGATGGGAGAGTGGGAGCCTGGTCAGAGAAGTATGGAGCGCGGCACCGCTGCGCACCAGACATGAAGCTAAATGTTTGCACGGAAGGAGGCAGGTCTATCCCGGCAGATTCTGTTTTTTGGGGGGGTGTGACCCCGGGGGGGCCCTTTCTCCACTTTCAGGTCACAATGTAATGTCAGCCGAATGGCAATGATCTCCTCATCCAAACCATTCTGGATCCAACTCCATACATCCAAGCGTATGTCAAGCGCTCTGGCTGTTCTGCTGTGCAACCTTTTATAGACCTGCTCTCCCTACAGAAGCTGAGTATATACATGCACATATCCATGATCAACCACGCCAAGCAAGGGGAGGATTCGGACTGCCAGTCGCTCTTTGGAGGAATGCGTCAGTGCAACGTGAAAAGGTGGCTTGAAGGAAGATATCAATTTGCAAAACGCTGAAGAAAAGGCTTGGCAGAGCTCCGAGGGGGCTGCTCAGGGAAGAGAGGGGTGGGAGGGTAACACGATGCGCCGGCAGCAGCTGTTGGCCTCCTGCTGCTGCAGTCTGCTGAAGGGGGCCAAGAACATGTCGAAGCTGCAACCATGGGCCATGCTGCACGGGGCCTGGGTATTCAGGAGGACAGTGTGGGACTTGGGAGGAAAATGTGTCATGCAGCCACTTGGAAGGGGGTGCAACTGTATGCTTGGGCAGCCCCAATCGGGAAAAGAATTTCAGAGTGGAGCTGGCACGGGAAAGAGGGACGGGGGTTTGATACCCCCCCCCCCGGCCTCTCCCTGCCACCGCTCCAACCAGACGCCTAGTGATTTCTGCAATGCTCGAGTTCAGGGGGGGAGGAGATGCTCATGCAGGGGTGACCCTCCTCGTCGCGTAGGGAGGGCTAGCGGCCTTGCCGCATCACATGAGCTGGCCCAAGGGGTCCTGCACCTGCCAGTTGTATGGCAGCATGTGGAGGGGAGTCGGATGGGGCCCCTGCGGCTCCAGCTGCATCGCCAGCAGCCCAGATGTGTCCATCCGTGCCGGCAGTGCCCCGTGGCATGCGCTCCCTGTGCGTGTCATGAGAAGGGGCGAGGGCGGAACGTGTGAGGAGGCAAGGCCACTGGCATGCTCAGGTGCTGGCGTGCAGGGCCTCAAGAATGGGGGGTCCGAGGAAACCCACCCGCCCACCCACCTGCAGGGTCCAGGTTCCAGAGGAGTGGGTCGAGGGCACCCAGGGAGTTGGGTGCGAGAGCTGGTCCACCATGCCCCCCTGCAAGGACGAGTGGGTGCGAAGTGAGCCGGCAGTGGAGGGACGGCCTGCATCGGCATGCCCGGTGCGGGGGGAACATCGTCCCCTGCCCATTCCCTGGCACGACATCCCCCACCGCGACGCAGGCTCCCGCGCCGCAGCGCTCGGCGGCGACCACTGCCCATCCGAGCGTCACACCAGGGGGCCCCCCGCCCCGATCACCCCCTCCCAACTCCACTCACGGAGCAGGGACGCGGCGGCGCTCTGGGTTGGGAAGCCAGGGTCGGCGGCGGCCAGGGCCTGGAGGGCCAGCAGCTGCTGCGCCAGGACAAGCGTCTGGTGCTGCTGGTGGGGCAGCTGCAGGTCCAGCCCCACCGCGCGCAGCCCGCCCGGCCCCAGGCCGCACCCCAGCGAGGCGGAGGTCCGCTGCCCCAGCGCCTCCAGCAGCGCGGCGGTGTCCGGGGCGGGCGCAACGCCGGAGCCGTGTCCCGCCCGCTCGCCGGCCACAAGGGCGGGGGCTAGACGCAGCACGGGGGGCGGGCGGTCCGCCGGCGCCGCGGCGCCCGGGGTCGGGGCGCGAGCAGCGCGGGGGAGGGGGCTGCCCGCGCGATGGCCGGGGGTCGAGGGGTTCTCGCATGCCGAGGCGTGGGCCCTGCGGTCCCGCCCGCGCCGCCCCGCGGGGCCTTTGAGCATGGCCGCGTGCGGCACCTGGCCGCGGGGCGGGGGCTGGTAGGCAAAGTCCACGCCGCGGATGCGGTGGATGCGGGGCACGCTCTGCCCTGCGAACCGCCCCTCGCACAAGTCCTTGTAGCGCTCCACCGCCTCGGAGGCCACCGCGCAGGCGGCGCGCACCGAGGCCGGGGGCCCCTCCACGCGGAAGGTGCGCGTGGGGCGGCGGCATCGGGCGTCGCCGGGGGACGTCCAGGACCGGACCTCCGCGCCCGTGGCGCGGCAGACGTCGCGGATGGAGGCGCCGGAGGGGCCAATGACAAAGCCGGCAGCAAGGAGGGTGATGCGCAGATGCATGCCGCCCGTGGGGGAGGGCTCCGCGGACACGATGCCCTGCTCCAGCTCCTCGGTGCCCTGTCCTTGCTGGCGGGGGCCTGGGGGAGGGTGGAAGAGGAGCGGAGTGGGCGTGGGTACCTAGGTTCCACACAGCTTCCAACTTCCCTTGGACGCTTGCGGTACAAGCATTCCCATCAGCAGTACGCATTCTCTGGCTGTGAACATGACCAACACACACACACACCGCCTGGGACGACTCCACAGGGGTGGCTTTTATATGGAGTACCCCTCCTAGGCCCCCCACCCCCATCAATCGAGTCTCACCACTAGGCTGCACCCACTGCACGGTTTCGGGGGCAACAACGTCGCCGATCAGGTTGGACTGCAAGGGGGTGCCATGCCCGGACCCAGTGCTGCTGCGGGGGGAGGTGGAGGAAGACAAATCCAGTCCCTCCTCGGAGGAGGAGCAGCGCGGGGCCGTGACGCTCAAGGCAGACTCCAGCGAGGTCTCCAAACCAGCGCCCGCCATGAACGCGTTTCTTGGTTCCCTGAAACACGTTGGGGGGGCTGAATGAGTGTGGGGGTGTGTGTGCGAGGCACTGGCAGCACCCCCCATATCGTACAAGCTTACCTGAGGAGCAGGGACTCTGGCAGCACAGAGACCGAGCCGGGTGGGTGTCTTGCGTTCAACATGTCGACTGTACTTTTTTCAGGGTATTGAGGTGTTCGGGTGAAGAAGCTGTCCGGTTATGAGTAAGAAAATCTGTACTGCTCAAGTCGGTCAGCATGACGAATCTCGTGACCTCCTCCCTGTACAGCGTTGCTGCGAAGATCCTGTGCCTACCTCGACCCGCAGTTCTTTGTACTGTGGATTAATTCAATCGAATGCTTTTTCGATTGGCTTCAAACTACTCCAGGCTCGATGTGCGTACCAGCCCGAGTGCACACTCGGCTGCCAACGCAAGAACCCCTTTGTGCGCGAGCGAAGCGGACGCACAGGACTCCTTCAATTATTGTCCCACGAAATTTTCGGGTAAGAGATCTGGCTTATGCGGGATGTCTTGTGCCTCTGAACAGGGTTCATGGCAGTTCGTTGTCGAACGGATCGCTGGTATGATCGACCCCGGCTGTCGCCGACACCCGGGGAGACATCCACCCTCTCCGTTTGCCGTGCTGTCAGCCCTGTTCTGGGGCTTCCAATTCCTCCTATGCTCAGGGTTTCTCCTGGGAGGTGCTGGCATGTAGGATAGCAACTGTGAAGGACTGTCGACTCGCTCCCACTCGGCGAAAAGGCCCATCCGCTTCCGAGTTCCGTGTGATTAGGATGTGCGACTCTGTTCCCTGGCAGCCACGTGATATTACCTCCGCAATTGCAAGCCTATCGCGAATCCTTTGTAAGGCGCAAAGGCTGCTCTAAAAAATATATGTGGTGTGTGTGGCTGTTCAGCGAGCACACGCCGGCTCGCGGTGGGGTTGTCACTCTCGTCATCATCTTCTGAGTATGAGGACGCCAGCATCTCCCCTCCGCTGTCTGGTGGGACTGAGGAGGTTAAGAGCGTTGCTCTGTACTCGAGGAGTTGAGGATCTACCGTGCCGATCGGAACGATGAATTGTGGGCTCGTGGGTGCAATTGCGGCATTCGAGGAACTGGTTCTGTCTGGAGATATTAGGAGATATCCCGGGTGAAGCGGCATTCATGTTGACCTACCCACCCTGCTCCTCGCCGATCCTCTAGGGTCCATCACGACAGCTCATCCCGATCCAGAATTGGAATCTTGATGTAGTCTGCATGCCGTGCCAATCATTTTAGTGATCCTTGGTGTCACCAGGACCAGTTCTCGGTCTATCACACCCAAGCACTTGCCGGCAGCACGAGGAACAACCAAGTCATTCCACCACCAATGACTGTGTCACATCACATCTGAAATTACCTTCGAGTATAAAAAGATCACCAGCTCGCAGAGACTGCTATCGTCGAAACTCCAAAACGGCTCCTAAAGTAGGAAAAAACAGTTCGTCACGGGGACTTCCCACGTGGTCACCCACCGCAGTACTATTCCCGCCCAATCCAGCTTAATTACCGAGGTCTAATGGGATCGGATGTGTTCTGGATGGTATGAACGAACCATGGTAGTAGTCGAATTCGCCCGTATATAATCCACATAGGAATACGAACATACTTGCTGGCTTGACGGACGGCACGAGTGAAGTGAACAATGTCAGGGATCCATTTTCAGGGAGATGATCAATGCCTTCCAGCACTGAAAGTCCCCCAAGCATACAGGCTTGTACACCCTGGCACGTAATGGGTACTGGTCGGAACTATCCACCCACATAATGGAAAGATGGGCGCTCTTTTTCTGAGAATATGGCCTGTGACACTCCTCTGCTCCTGCTCACAGTGCTCGGTCGAGTACCTTCCCCTAGGAGCCTATCGCGCGCGCGCCTTTGCTCAGGCCCGCAACGCACCATATTCGGTGCATGGAGACACTGCTCAGCGATCAAGCCGTTGCCGATAAATAAAGAAACCTGCGTTGAGTGGAACTCGGCATGCCCAAAAAGAGGGTGCTGTCGCCGCAGTCCGTGTGGGACGAGCCGGCGCTGCGCCTGGCCTTCGACCGGGCCGGCGTCAAGGCCCTGCACCTGCCTCCCCTCTACCGGTAGGACTTCGAATTGTGGCACCGGCACGGTCACTGACATCTCGCGTGCGCTGCTCGGTGCGGAAGCGTCACCCCCAACCCCAACCCCTCCAGGCACCTGCTGCGACACCCGGATGCCAGCTGGTCCGACGTGCCCGACCTCCCCCGCGCGGCGGTGGACCTCCTGACGCGCGACTTCGCGGCGCACACCACTACCCTGGTCCATGCCCAGACCTCCGGCGGCGGCGATGCCACCAAGCTGCTGGTGCGCCTGCAGGACGGACTGCAGGTGGAGGCGGTGATCATGCAGTACGACACGACGTCCGCCCCGCCCGCCGCGTCCGACGGCGCCGCACCGCCCGCCGTCACCGGCTCCCAGCGCTGCACACTGTGCGTGTCCAGCGAGGTGGGCTGCGCCATGGCCTGCACCTTTTGCGCCACGGGGACGATGGGCCTGTCGGCCGACCTCACCGCGGGCGAGATTGTGGAGCAGCTGGTGCACGCGCGGCGCCAGCATCCCATCCGCAACGTCGTCTTCATGGTGGGAAAGGGTGGGGGGTGGGTGAAGGGTGGGTGGATGGGGTGGGGTACCGGTGGGCGAGCCACTCTCAAGAGGGCAGAGATGCTGGTGCAGGGGGCTGTCGTGACAGCGGTGAGGACCACGGCAGTACGCCCCCCCGACTCCTGCCTTGTATCAAACCGTCGAGTTTCATCACCACCACTACCACCCCAAGGGCATGGGCGAGCCGCTGAACAACTACGTGGCGGTGCGCGCCGCCATCCTGACCATGGTGGACCCGGCCTCCTTCGCGCTGCGCCGCTCCGCGGTCACGCTTTCCACGGTGGGCGTGGCGCCGCGCATCCGCCAGCTGGCCGCCGACCTGCCCGGGGTCAGCCTGGCCCTGTCCCTGCACGCGCCCACCCAGGAGCTGCGCGCTGCCATTGTGCCCAGCGCGCGCGCCTACCCGCTGGACCGCCTCATGGCCGCGGTGGCCGAGTACCAGGCCGCCAGCGGGCAGCGCGTGTTCGTCGAGTATGTGCTGCTGGGCGAGGCCAACTGCCGCGCCGAGCACGCGCACGCGCTCGGCGCCCTGCTCTCCGGGCGCAACGTGGTGGTCAACCTCATCCCCTGGAACCCCATCCTGTCCCCCGCAATGGACTTCCGCGGCCCCGCGCCGGGCCAGGCCGTGGAGTTCGCAGTCGTGCTGAGGGAGCAGTACGGCCTGCCCACCACCATCCGCCAGGAGAAGGGGCAGGCGAGCGAGGGGTGGGAGGGGGGCCGACGGCTGGCTGAGGAGGTCGGGAACGATGCGATGGTGGGAAGGGTGTGAGGGATCGTGGGGGGACCAGTGCTCCCAGGACTGGCCAGATAACTTGAGCCGGCGCGAGATGGTTGGCCCCTGGGCCCCCAGCGTGCTGCTTGCCCCAGGTGCGAAACGGACCTCCCCAGACACCTCCTCCGGCCCTGCTCCCTCACCGTCATTCCCACCGAATCCTGCAGGACGTGGCGGGGGCCTGCGGTCAGCTGGTGCTCGAGCAGGGGGGGAGGGCGTGCGGGCCCGGCGGCAGCGGCGGCGGCGGGTGCGGGGACCTGGAGGACCTGGCCGGCAGGGCGGTGGCCGCCCGGTAGCTTGGGCACTGACAGTGTGTGCACCTGCGCTGCACGAAAGGGCCATGCTCTCACTGAACGTTTGCCCATTCAAGCTGGAATTTTCCCCTTCTCTCACTTTGTTTGACATCTATCTTTCGCTCCGGACATGTACACGATCCCTTGTTCAAGCTGAGGTAAAAGACTTGAAGGAGTTGCCTGGGAGGCGGGGCCTCCGCCAGGGATTGCCTGACCTGCGGAGGGCTCCATCCCCAGCCTCCTGATGTGCCTTCCACAGCGTGCTCTCACGGCGAGGCGGGAGCACTCGCCGCGGCGGTTTGATTGCCAGTGCTGGGGGGCAGGCAGGCACAGTGCTTCACTCGCAGGCCCTTCACGTAAGTCAGCAAGGGCGTGCACCGAGGAGGTGGAGCGCCAAGTAGCTCAGAAGCCGATGCGCTGCCCGGCCGGCACGTCGGCCGCCTCGTCCAGCTCCACAAACTCCTTGGAGTAGAGGGCGGCAAAGGGCGGCAGGCTGTTTGCGCACACCCGGGGCAGCAGGGGGGAAGTTTTAGCCAGGCCCGCAGGTTCGTAGCCGCGCTATATGCATGAGGGGGGTTGGGAAAGAGCGGGGAGGCGGTGACGGGACGGGGCGGAGAATGATACCGTCAGATTCACATGCTGGAGGAACATCTGTCATGCCAAATATGCTACTTCCACATCTACATGTATCTTTTCAGTCATCCCTGCCAACATTGAGGCCTGAACACGTTACGGCCACCCCCTTTTCCCCCTGTAGGAAAGAATGGATCCACCCCCCCCCCGGCGCACCCACCTCCATGAACCAGTCGTAGCCGCCGCGGCCGACCTGCACCAGCAGGCAGCGGCCGTAGCCCGCGCGCCGCGCATCCTGCTCCACATAGTCCAGCAGGCTGTCGCCCAGGCCATTGCAGCGGTAGGCGGGGTGCACCACCAGCGCCGCCAGCTCCATCAGCCGCGCGCCGTCCTGCGAGGCGCCCAGGTCGGCCACGCAGGCGCAGGCCAGGACCTGCTGGGTGGGGTGGGTGGGTTTGAGGCTGGGATGGCGGGGTGGGTGGGGTGGGAAAGGGCGGGGCAGACAGCGTGTGCCTGCCAGGTGGGGTGACGCCGGCCGCGCAGCCGGTCGCGTCTCATCGCCTCCTGCGCTCCCCTCCACTCCCCAGGCCGGCGTATCGTCCCCGCGTCCCACACCCAGACCAGCCTCCTCCCCCCATCTTCCCACGCCCTCCTTCCCCACACCCCGCCCCCGCGTCACCCACCTTCCCCTCGCGCTCCAGGACGGTGATGCTGCGCAGGCGCTGCGAGACCTCGTGCAGCCAGCCGGAGAGCGGGTAGCCCTCCACCTCCTCCAGGTGGGTCAGCAGGCGGGTGATGCCGTCCACATCGCGCCAGGCGGCAGGGCGGATGCCCTCGTACAGGTCGGTCGCGATCATGGTCACCCCCCGCGTCCCTGTCGAGAGTGGAAGGGCAGCAGCACATGGGTGGGCTCCCCTCAGTCCAGTTCCGTGATGCACCCGCAGAGAACCGCGGGGTTTGCTTCGCAAGGAAACAGCGGCACATGGCTCCAGGCGCTGAAGCGCGCATCGTCCAGGGCACCGACTGCTTTGGAGGGGTGAGGCGGTCCATGCAGGCACGCGCTGGCGCCGCCACGGCGCCACCTCCATCCCCCCTCCCCAATGCCACAAGGTGCCCCCCCTTCCCCCGCCCCCCCCCTCGGTCGCCCGCGCACCGTCGCGGGTGTAGAGCTCGATGAGCATGGCGCCATCGGTGGCGGCGTCCACCAGGTGCGCGCGGCGCACGCCGTTGCGGCAGGCCACCGCCGCGGCCACCACCTCGCGCGGGAACCCGATCTGCTGCCAGCTGTCCAGGTCCAGCTGCAGCTCGGTGTCGGCCGGCGCGACGGGCGGGCGGGGGGGGGGCCTCCCATCCTCGTGCCCGCCCTGGCCGCCGCGGTCGCCACCCCCAGCCGCCCTGCCCCAGCCGCCCTGCCCCTCCACCTCCTCGCCGCTGCCAAAGGTGAAGGCGCCGTCCACGCCGCGGCCGGCGCCGGCGCCGCCCTCCCCCGCGCCGCGCGCGATCAGCGCCTCCGCGTCGTCCAGGGGCAGGTAGGCCGGCAGGCCCAGGTCCGCCACGTCCTGCCCCGTCAGGCACAGCAGCTTGTCGGCGCCCAGCTCCACCGCCGCGTGGGTGGCCACGTCGTACACGTTGCAGTTGAGCAGCTCGCCGGAGGAGGTGACCCCGATGTTGGTCAGCACCACGATGGCCCCCGCCGCCAGCTGCACCTCCACCGCGTCGCGCTTGACGTAGCGCACCTGGCCCATGAGCCCAAAGTCCACGCCGTCCACGATGCCGCGGCGCCGCGCCACCGTGAAGTTGCCGTTGACCACCTGCACGGCGGGGCCGCCGTGAGGCGCCAGCGCCGCGTGCCGACGCACCATCGGCACAAACGGGGCCTGTGGATCGGTGGTGGGGGGGGCTTGGTCGGGGGGTGGAGCAAGGATGACAAACGGTGGGGAGCTGGGGTGTGGGTGCATGTGGAGAGTGTGTGCTGAGTCAGCAAGCGCTGGTGTGGGGGCAGCGAGGCTGGCAACGCCGCTGCCGCCGCGGGACCAGCGCAGGCCCGCGTCGGGGAGGGAGGCCCCTGCACGGCCAAACAGGATCCTCTCCCTGACCCCCTTTCCCCCTCGGAATCTCAGCCCCCACCCGCGACATGTGCCCCGCGATGGTCGTGTAGGTGACGGCCGAGGCGTGCAGCGCGCCCGCCATGGCGGCCGCGTCGGTCACTCGGTACGCGCCCTCGAAGCGCGGCTCGCGCCCCGCTGCGCGCAGGTGGTCGTCGATCCAGGGCTTGCCCCCGACCACAATCACCAGGCGAATGCCCAGGCCGTGCAGGAGCAACAGGTCCTCCAGCAGGGGCTGCAGCTGCCGGGGCTCGTACGCCACCTGGCGGGTGTTTTTGGTGTGGTAGTGGTAGGGGGTTGTCGGGGAGGGGGAGGGCGCAGGAGAAGGGGCGCGGTGAGGTGCAAGGACTGGCGGGCAGGTGAGCTTTGGTGTCAGGGAGGCTGCAGGCGAGAAACGCTTGTGAGCACGGGATGGGCCTCTTATGAAACAGCCACACTCCACGCCGCACAGTGCAAGCCCTGTGCGGGGTCCTACCTCGCCGGGCACAACGATGACGAAAATCCTGCCCCGATGCCGCATGACGTAGGGGGAGGCCACATGCAGGAACTTGACCAGCTGGGCACTGCAGGCGTGGAGGTGGGGGAGTTTCAGGCGAGAGGTTGGGGATGGGTGGGAACGGTAGCCTGCATGTGGTAGCCCCTCGGTGTTCATGTGTGTGGATGCGTCAACCCCTCGCCCTTACCAAAAGACACACACCACCACATGCTGTGCACTCCCCCCTACCTGTCCCAGGCGGCATCGCTGGATCCCTCCTCCACCGGCTTGCTGGTAATGGAGTCGTCCAGGTTTTGCAGCCCCGTCTGGCGACTGACGCGGCAGGCGAAGGAGGGCCGGCACCTGGCAACCCCCTGCTCTCGCCAGGGTGCCATAAAACCCTTGCACGCCGTCCCCCATTCAGCAGGCCCATGGGCCTGCCTTTGGGAGTGGGGTGATTCCCTGTGTTTCCTAACATACGTCCTGAGGCCAGAGATGTGTCGTAGACGGGCGCTCTGGCCCTCCAGGCCGATGCTCTGCCGGAGCACCATGTCAGGGGCACACCCCACACCAGACCTGCCGCGTCATCGAGCACGCATCATTCAAGTACATGTTGAAAAGTGTAATGTGAACAAGTATATGTTGGTTGTACCAGCTCGAGTGCAGTGAGTATGCCCACACTGAGTCGCACAGGTGCGGACTGATCGATCGATCGCCTGTGCGATCTCAAGCGAGGTCCTTTCCTCCAGCCCTGAGCGTCTCATTGAACACCCGCTCCTGCATCGCAGACCAAGCCTTCCCTTCCGTTTAAAAACGCCCAAGTCTGCAAGAAAGCCCTCCCACGTGGCTGGGAGCAATCAGGGGCATGGATCCTGAGGTGGATTCGGAGGAGCTTGATCACCAGGAGCCCGAGCTTGTCCAGGATGACGCGCAGCCGATGGAAGGCAAGGACGTCGCTCTGACTGATTTGAATGGTGCCATGATTGGATGTGTCCTTCCGGGGACCTGCTGCCTGAGCTGCTGGGGGAGGGGCCCCGACACTCGAACAGACCTCCGCCCCTGCCGCGTCCGCAGGCGTCACCATCGAGGAGGAAGTTGTTGGTCAGGCACCTGATCCGTTGAAAGGCGAATACACGGTAATCAGGCGCAGCATGGGTGCGCGTGCTCTATCACCGAAGGGCCGCTCGCACACTCCCTCGCTAAGGGGCTGCACCTCATGCTGTCCAGCATCCCTTTTGAGCCCCTGATATCACGTCACCCTTGCAGTGGGAGCTGCGGGACTTCTCACAGCAGCCGCTGAAGACCTTTTCTGAGGTGTTTGATGCTGGCGGCTTCCCATGGTGAGGCGCTGGGTGTGGTCTCGATTGAACATCATGCAGGCCCCCATGAGAGCGTGCAGGAGGGGCGCATGGTACAGTCGGGATCGGGACCCCCCGTCAGGGATCCATCACCTTCCCCAAATCCGTGCGCAGGCAGCTGCTCTGCTTCCCCAAGGGCAACAAGCCCGGACAGCTGTCGCTATTCCTGGCCGTCCCAGAGAACGAGGACCAGCCCATGGGCTGGCAGCGGTCCGCCAGCTTCAAGCTCACCGTGCTCAGCGCGCATGGGCGCGAGCACGACGTGAGCAAGGACGCCACCCACACCTTCCTGGGCACCGAAAACGACTGGGGTGAGCCCCCGAGGTCTGCCTGTGCTGGGGGCAGGGAGGGGGCCCATGGTGTGCACATTGGAAGACGTGAGAGGATCGATACCCCCAGCCTCAACCCCGCACTGCCTGGCTGGGGGCTGCCCCAGCTGCCAGTGGTCGATCGCAGGGGGCGCCGGCCCATGCTGGTATCGGCCGTGGGGCCTGCACCTAAGGATGTAGGCTACCTACATTGTTTCACGCCATAGTCACCTCCCCCACCTCGCAGGCTTCAACACCTTCATGCTGCTGAATGACCTGGTCGACCCCTCTCGAGGACTGCTTGTGGACGACACGCTCCGCATCAAGGCAAGTTGTTTGGGATCTTTGGGGTCGGAAAAATGTAGCAAGCTCATCCCAGTGTGTGCGGAGTTTACTCAGAGTCATCTGAAGCCCATCACCCACGACCCACTGCCCTTGCTGGCGTGCCCACCAAATCATGCACACCTCGGACCCCCGTGCAGGTGGAGGTGGAGGTCCGCGTCCCAGAGGACTTCTCCTACGACTCCCGGAAGGAGACCGGCTACGTCGGGCTCAAGAACCAGGGCGCCACCTGCTACATGAACTCCCTGCTGCAGACGCTGTACAACATCAACCAGTTCCGCAAGGTGGGCCATGGTGGGGGCCAGGCAACAGCGTCGGGATTCTGTCTGTCGTCACTGGCGTGCCCATATTTGTGCTGCCAAGAGCACCGGCAGACCCCCCCTGCTATGCTTACGACCGCAGGCCGTGTACCATATGCCCACCTCGGAAGACGACGACCCGGCCAAGAGCATGCCGCTGGCCCTCCAGAGCGTATTCTACAAGGTGCGTGGTTGCGTGGTCGTTTCTGTGCTTCATCTGTGGGGAGGTGCGGGTGGCAGGGGATGTATGGGTTGGCGTGCAAAGCAGCGTCGCAGGCAGGGAGAACAGGCCTGTGACGCAGGTCTGGGGCCCTATCCAATGCCTGGGGTGGCTCATGAACAAACACGGCACCGCCCTGCCCCCACCGGCCCACCCATGCAGCTGCAATTCACGGACGGCCCAGTGTCAACCAAGGACCTGACGCGCTCGTTCGGCTGGGACACCAGCGACGCCTTCCAGCAACACGACGTGCAGGAGCTGAACCGCATCCTCTGTGACCGCCTGGAGGAAAAGATGAAGGTGTGGGGGCGGGGTTCGAGGAGGGGGAGGAGCTCGTCTTTTGAACAGGCGCTGTCCATTCTGGACGGGGTGGGCCTGGAGGGCGCCTGGCGTGGTGCTGCGGGTGAAGCACCGGCACGCCGGGGTCGGGAGGAAAGCATGTCCCTTGATGCGACAACAAAGACCCCCACACATGCACTCCGCCATGCAGAGCACGCGGGTGGAGGGCACCATCAGCAAGCTGTTCGAGGGGCACACCCTGAACTACATCGACTGCATCAACGTGGACTACAAGTCCTCCCGCCGCGAATCCTTCATGGACCTCCAGGTGGGGAGGAAGGGGGACGAGGGGGCTGGGGCCTTGTTTGAATTCTCTGGCGTCATTCGCAGGCGACAGTGAGTCCTCCTGTAACCCCCTTCCCTCCTCCCTTCCTTTCCCCCTCGTTCCCCCATAGCTGGACGTCAAGGGGTGCAAGACCATCCTGGACTCCTTTGACCGGTACTGCGAGGTTGAGACGCTGGAGGGCGACAACCAGTACCTGGCGGAGGGGCACGGCTTGCAGGACGCGCGCAAGGGCGTGCTCTTCGACGGCTTCCCCCCCGTGCTCCAGCTCCAGCTCAAGCGCTTCGAGTACGACTTCATGAAGGACAGCATGGTGAAGATCAATGACCGCTACGAGTTTGGCGAGGAGCTGGACCTGGACGTGGGCGACCGCAAGTACCTGGCCGCCTCGGCCGCCCGCGGCGTGCGCAACAAGTACAAGCTGCTGGCGGTGCTGGTGCACTCCGGCGGCGTGCACGGCGGGCACTACTACGCATACATCCGCCCCGACGGCGCGCGCTGGCTCAAGTTCGACGACGAGCGCGTGGAGGCCGCGGAGGCGGACCGCGCGGTGCGCGGCAACTGGGGAGGTGAGGACGACCGCGGCGCGCCGGGCGGCGGCGCGCCGGGCCTCCGCTTCACACGCTTCGCCAATGCCTACATGCTGGTGTACGTTCGCGAGAGCGAGTGGGGGTCTGTCATGTGCGGCGTGGAGCGGCGCGACATCAGCCAGCATGTCTGCGCTCGCCTGCAGGTGGGGGGTTGGGGAGGAGGGGGACCCAAAGGGGGGTGGTGGCAAGAGGGGGGGGGGGACGAAAGGAGGTGGGGGCGAAAGGGGGGAAAGGGGAAATCGTGTCATCCCGTCAGCCAGCCCCCGGCCCGGGCCGTAGCACCGTCTCCTCCCTGGCCAGGCGATCCCACCGATGTGTTCCCCCTACCAAACAACCCAGCCCACAACCAACCCCCACCCAAACACCCAGGCGGAGCAGGATGAGAAGGAGCGGCGGCGCAAGGAGAAGGCGGAGGCCCACCTGTACACCCTGGTCCGCGTCTCCACCGACGCCGACATGGCGTCCCAGATTGGGCGCGAGCGCTGGTTCGACCTGGTAGACCACGAGGGCGTGGCCACCTTCAAGCTGAGCAAGCGCGCGCCCTTCTCCACGCTGCGCGCCGAGGCGGCGCGCGCGCTGGGCGTGCCCCCCGCCGCGCAGCGCTTCTGGCGCTGGGCCGCGCGCCAGAACGGGACCTACCGCCCCTCGCTGCCGCTGGAGCCAGAGTCGGACGAGGTGCCCATCAGCAGCCTGCGTGACGGCCGCCGCGACCTGCGCCCCGGCACGATGAGCACGCTGAACCTGTACCTGGAGACGGCGCCCGACGGGGGCGGTGGTGGTCGGGGGCGCGGGCGGGGGGCGTCGGGGCCGGAGCCGACGGGGCGGCGCCCGACGGCGGCTCGCCCGGCGCCCAGGACGGCGCTGGCGATGCGAGCAAGGCCACGAATACCCCGTCTACGTCGCCAGCCGCCACCCCGCGGCCGCGCGGCGCGAACGACATCCTACTCTTCTTCAAGCAGTTCCTGCCCGACCCCGAGGAGCCTGCGCTGCGCTACGCAGGCTCGCTCCAGGTGCACCGCCACAGCCGGATCGGGGAGCTGGCGCCCGCGCTGCGCGCGCTGGGCGGCCTCGCCCCCGATGCCGCGCTGGAGGTGTACGAGGAGGTCAAGTTCGAGCCCAGCGTCATGGTGGAGGCGCTGCGCCCGGCGCTGACCGCCGCCGCCGCGCAGCTGGAGAACGGGGACGTGCTGGTGTTCCAGGCCGCGGCGGCGAGCCTCCAGGCCCCGCCCGACTGCCCGCGGGAGCACCTCTCCGCGCCGGCCTACATGTCGCACGTGCGCAACCGCGTGCGCGTCGCCTTCCGGCCGCTGGAGTCCCCCGGGGAGGAGGGCCTGCTCCTGGACCTGCGCAAGGACATGGGGTACGAGGAGGTTTCTGGCGCGCTGGCGGCGCGGCTGGGCCTGGACCACCCGCTGCGCCTGGCGCTGACGGGGCAGAACCCGTACAGCGCGCTGCCGCGCCCCGCGCCGCTCAAGTACGCGCCTGGGGCCACGCTGGAGGAGATGCTGCGGGCGGGGCAGTACGGCGCGGCGGCGGGCAGCACGCTCTACTACGAGGTCATCGACCTGCCCCTGCCCGAGTACGAGAAGCTGGTGACCTTCAAGGTACCAGCGTGGGAGTCGGGGGTCCGGGGGGTGGAGGAAGGATGCCGAGGGTGGGGGTGAGGAACAGCCCCGGTCACCGTCGGCGGTCTGCACAAGGCAGAGCGTTCTCAAGGCTCCCATGCACCACCCAACCCCCCCATGCCAGGTGTCGTTCCACAACGCCAAGGCGGAGGAGGTCAGCGCGCACAGTGTGCGGCTGCCACGCGACGCGCGCGTGAGCCAGCTGCTGGAGGAGCTGCGTGCGCAGCTCCCGGCCGGAGCCGGCGTGGGCGACGCGCCGCTGCGCCTGATGGAGGTCTACCAGTGGCGCGTCTGGCAGCTCTTCGACCCGGACCAGGCGGTGGGGTCCATGTCCGGCGACGCGCTGTGGCACCTGCGTGCTGAGGTGGTGCCCCCCGACCAGCGGGGGGCGGGGGGCGAGGAGGGCCTGCACGTGCACTGCCTGCAGGTGACGGAGGAGGCCCACAACCGCGCTTTTGCCTTCAGCGACCCCTTCATCATGCGTGTGCGGGAGGGCGAGACCGTGGGCGAGCTGCGGCGCCGCGTGCAGGTCGCGCTGGGGGTCGGCGATGAGGAGTTTGCGGGCTGGCGCGCGCTGCTGTGCCCGCCGCTGTCGGCCCCGGAGCCGCTGGAGGACGAGGAGGTGGTGACCGCGCGCCTGGCGCGCGCAGACCTGGAGCGCCTGTACGGCCACCACGACCGCGCCTGCATCGGGTGGGAGCACGAGAACCGGAACCCGCGCAAGACGCACGCACACCTCAACCGCAACGCGGCCTGGTACGGGCAGGAGCGCCAGCTCAAGATCAAGGCCTGAGGTGCGGGCGGGAGCGGTGCGGGGGGAGGGCCGCGCATGCCACACGCGGCGTGGCCGACCATGGCCCAGCCCCTCTGCAGTGTGCTGACTGCGTGCTCTCAGGGCAATGCCCGGCACGCCGGCTGTAAGGCCGTTGATATATAGATCGCCGCGGACTGGTGCAGGTCTGTAGGATCTAAAAAGGGGGGGGGGGGGTTGAAATGGCATGGAATTAATTCAGTCCTATCTCGAGGCCTGACATTCCGCGCGCTCTCACATGCGGCAAACCAGGGAATGCGACTTCCAACGCATTGATGCTCGCGCACCTTTGACAGCCGCAAGCGCTCCGCTCAATAAATATCCCTGGAAACAGAAGTAACATCGAAGACTGGGGACCCTGGCTCACTGAGCACATCGCACATTCACCAAACCCAGACATACGTCCAGCCTGGGGTAGCAAGACTTCGTCATGTCTGAATCGGCTGCAGAACGCAAGGCTCGGTTGAAGGCCATGCGAGAGGCTGCAGAGAAGGAGGGAGACCTGGGAGAGGAGGGGCCGACGAGCACAGCAGAGGCAGGGGATGGCACCCCGGAAGCCGCGCCGTCCACCTCAGCATACCCCGTCCTCAAATTCCGAAATTATAACGTCAAGGATGCCGAGTCCATCCAGCACGTCAAGGTGGGCTGCCTGGGAGCGATGGGACTGGAGTGCATGCAGTGGCCTGGAGTCTTGAGCCAACATGGTGAGGATAATCGATGGCGTTCCATGTGCGCGTTGCACAGTGAGCTTTCAACCCTAGCTCCTGATCGAGACATGCAACATGCGCAGGTGGAGGCTGCCAAGGTACCAGAGGTGGAGGAGATCGTGGCAGACCCCGAGGCGGTGATGGGCAACGACCCAGAGGTGCGAAACGCTCTGCTGATGGCTGAGGCGTCTTGTAAACCAGCCCTGGTCATGGAGTGGACTTCACAAGTGCATGCCGCTGTGTCTGCACCAAACTCCGCCCCACACCCCCCTGGCTCAACAGGAGGTGCTGATCAACGTGGCCCCCAAGAAGGCCAACTGGGAGCTTCGAAGAGCCATCGCCCCGCAGCTCGCCAAGCTCGACCGGCGGACTCAGGAAGCCATGATCACACTCATGAAGGCCGAGCAAGCCAGCGCTGCTGCGGTTTGACAAGGCAAATGTTTGTTCTTGGCACCCCGGAGCCGTTCTCTACCAAGACTCACCAGCAGCTCTGTGGGGATTTCTCTAGTGTAACACGATTGAATGCTTTAAGCATGCACTGCCAGTCAAGCGCTGTGTCAGATGTTCCTACAGCAAGTGGCAGGGGCGGCGCTCGCCCAAGGTCAGATGGCAGTGCTCGAATAGATACAGGGCGGCAGCAAGGGGTTGGGGGCTGGCGCGCTGGGGGCCTCAGGAGCTCACAGCGCTGAAGGGTCTCGGCCCTATCTCTCCCCGGTGCGGCTCTCAGGCCTCGGCCAGCACCAGGCGGGGCACGATGTTCATGGCCTGCATCTCCTGGAACAGGAGCTTGGCGGCGTAGGGCAGCTTCATGGTGGCCATGGCGTCGGCTCGACCGGTGCCTGGGCAGCGCGCACGGCGCGCCGCCGCGTCCCAGTAGCCCAGCAGGCCGCAGTGGGTGCAGACGTGGACCTCGAACTGGTCAGAGGAGATCATGAGCCGCTCCAGGAGGAGCGCGGACGCGCCGTACCCGATGAGGCAGTCGCGCTCCATCTCCCCCAGGCGCAGCCCGCCGTCGCGCGATCGGCCCTCGGTGGGCTGCCTGGTGAGCACGACGCGCGGCCCTCGCGCGCGCGCGTGCATCTTGTCCATCACCATGTGCTTCAACTTCTGGTAGTACACGGGCCCCATGAAGACGTATGCCTCCAGCGCCTCCCCCGTGATGCCGGAGTGGAGCAGGTCCTTGCCCGAGTAGGAGAACCCCGCCGCCACCAGCTCCGCGGACAGCGCGTCCACACGGTCCGCCAGCCCGCTGCCCTCGCCAAAGGCGGTGCCGTAGTGCAGGCGGCCGGACACCGCCCCCGCCTTGGACCCCAGCAGCTCGATCATCTTGCCCACAGTCATGCGGGAGGGGAAGCCGTGCGGGTTCATGATCAGGTCGGGCACCACCCCGCGCTCGGAGAAGGGGAGGTCGGCCTCGGGCACGATGCACCCAACCACGCCCTTCTGGCCGTGGCGAGAGGAGAACTTGTCGCCCAGCTCGGGGCGCCGTGTGTGCCGCACCAGCACCTTGACCACGCAGGCCGAGTCGTCGTTGCTGGTCACCATCACGCGGTCCACCGCGCAGCGCTCCCCCGGGAAGCCCTTCCACATCACCGGCGCGGCGCGGTACCCCGACTCGGGCAGCGCGCCGCCGCCGGGGCCCGCGGCATCGCGCGTGTTCAGCGGCACCTGCTTGTGCACCAGGCACTCGCCCTGGGTCAGCACGCGGCCCGCCCCCGCGATGCCGTCCGCGTCCAGCACCGAGAAGCGGCCGCCGGGGCGGGTGGTGGTGGTGGTGCTGGCGCCGGCTGGCGCCGCTGCCTCCGCCGGCCGCGTGATGCGGTCCTGCGTGCGGTTGCCGTACTTTTTGAGCGTGGTCGCATACTTGCGCATCACCACGCAGCGCCCGAAGCCCCGGTCCAGGCTGGCCTTGTTCATCACGATCGCGTCCTCGATGTCGTACCTGTGATTGGGTGGGGTGGCGTGGCTGGGGAGGGGCGACGGTGGCAGGGGAGCGACACTACAATACACACACCCTACACACACACACACCCACCAAACCCCTTGCTCACCCCGAGTACGACATGACGGCGACGATGGCGTTCTGGCCCGCGCCCAGGCGGTCGAAGCCCACAAGCTCGATGGTCTTGGTGGTGAGCAGGGGGCGCTGCGGGTACTGCAGCAGGTACATGAGCGTGTCGATGCGCTGCAGCTGGTTGAAGGCGATGTTGCCCATGGCCTGCTTCCCCATGGCGCACTGGTAGGTGTTGCGCGGCGACTGGTTGTGGTGCGGGTAGGGGATGAGCCCCGCCACCACGCCCAGCACGGTGAAAGGCTCGATCTCAAGGTGCGTGGTGGCGGGGTTGCAGAAGCACTCGTACAGCGCCACCAGCGCGTTGTTCTCCTCGTTCACGTCTGGAAGGGGGGGGGGAGGGGCATGATTCTGTGTGAGGGGGCTTGCCGTCGATGGAAGGGGGAATGCCACGCCGTCCAGTGCTGGTCGACACTCATTGCCCTGGAGCGCTGGGCTCGGCCCGCCATCCCTCCCCCCCGGACTGCCACCGTACCCACCCAGGTACTCTACGAGCCCCGCGGTCAGAAAGTCGTTGAAGCTCCACTCCCCCGCTTTCAGGCGCGCCAGGTGCGCGCCCGTCACGCGCGGCACGCCCGCGTCGCAGATGATGAGCGGGCGGCAGACGCGGCCGCCGTCGGCCGCGATGTGCACCGCGTCGTGCTGCACGTGCACGGAGACGAACTCGCCGAGGCGTGCGGCGCGGCGCAGCGTGCGCAGCGCGGCCACCAGCGCGCGTGGGCGGCGGTGCGTGCCCAGGATGCAGCCGTCCAGGAACACCAGCGCGGCGTCGGCGTGGTGCAGCTCCGCGCCGGGGACCAGGGACAGCGGCTGCGTGCCCAGCGCGGCGGCCAGGCGCGCCAGCGGCGCGGGGTCCTCGTCCGTGGTCACGTGCGTCATCAGGGCCAGGTTCTTGACCAGGCCGCAGGACTCGCCCTCAGGCGTGTCGGCGGGGCACAGCATGCCCCACTGGCTGGGCTGCAGCGCGCGGGGGCCGCTCACCTTGCGCGTCTTCTCGAACTGGGAGGTGATGCGCGTCATCATGCCCACCGCCGAGATGAAGGACAGGCGGGACAGGACCTGGGGTTCAGGGAAGGCGGGAAGGGGTTTGGTGGCTGGTTAATCGGAGGGGGCCATCGGATGGAAGTTTTCGAGTGGGTTGAGGAGCGGGCTCCTGGCGGCTGCGGACTGGAGATCTCAAGGTGCAGGTAAAACGGCATCCATTCAGCCCGCTGAGCGCATGGGGACGCCCCTGGCCCAGTGCACCACGCCTGCTTCCTCAACGTCGCCAGGTAGCCAGGGGGGTGCCGCGTGTGACTGTCCAGTGCACACAAAGGAATCACCCCTCATCCTCTCCATCACCCTTGCCTGGGTCACGCCCTTGCGCTCCATGCGGAAGCGCTTGATGGTCCAGTTCCCCGAGCTGATGGCGTTCTCCAGGCCGGCGGTGATGGTGTGGGTGCCCAGGCACTTGGCGATGTCGTACTGCGTCGCGCGATTGGCCTTGGACAGCGTGGCGTCTGTGTGGTGCTTCAGGTCCGCGTTCAGCCTGAAAGGTCGGCGTTGAGCACGATTGATGGTGCGTGCGAGGCATAGAGTAGGGCCCCGGTGCCGTCGTCATGCCACGCAGGAATGCGATGGCTTGTACTCAGAGCAACAACAAGCACCTGTACTCACCATCCCCTGCGTCACCTGTACAGTTCCGCCCTTTTACCCCCACCCCCATTTCCCACCAAAGAAGGTATAAACCTATGCTCACTTCTTGAACAGGTCCTCGAAGAGGAGGGCCAGCAGCCCCCCCGCCAGCTCCAGGCGCTTGTTGCCGTAGTAGTCGCGGTCATCCACGAAGCCCGGGTCCAGCATGGCGCAGAGCATGCGCCGCACCATGACCGCCAGGTAAACCACCTTGGCCTGGAAGTTGTAGCGCGGGACGGGGACGTGGCAGAGCACCACGCCCGACAGGATGTCACGTGCCTCGTCGACGCGCGAGCGGCCCCGGCGCTGGAAGCCGCCGGGCGGGCGGCTGGACTTGACGCGCGCCGCCAGGAACTCCAGCGCCTGCGCCTGGGTGAACACGCCCGTGCTCTCCTCCCGGCAGTGCTGCAAGGTGGGCGCCAGCAGGCTGCCAAAGGCCGGCTCCGACCCCACAAGCTGCACAAACTCCTGGTCGCTCTCCACGCCCATGGCACGCAGGACGGCCAGGATGTTGATGTCCTCCCTGTTCAGTGGTTGGAGGAGGAAGGGGGACGGAATAGGGCTTTTGGAGTCAGCTGATGCAGGGACAGGCTGGCGAGGGGGGACACGGCCCGTGTGCAAGTGGTTCACGGCATGAGTTCAGATGAGGACAACCATGAGCCAGGGCAGAAGAGCTGGCCATACTGCCAACGGCTGACCTCACTGCCAGCCCAGAAGCGATGGAACCAGACAATGCACCAGGTGAGCAGGCTTGCGGCTGCAGATTCGGGAGGGTGGACACCGGCTCCTTCTCCAGGCCCCCAAATCACACCATCCCCGCGTGCCCGCCTCACGTGAAGGCATTGTGTCTCAGCAGCAGGCGGCCGTGCTTGGTCACGATGTTGGTCTTGGACTTGCGCTCATGCGTGGAGGAGGTCACGGAGGCCACGATGCCGCCGTGGCTGTCTGTTTGCGGCGAGCATAGGGGAGCCATGGTTTATACGGCCTAGATATGCAAGGCTGCAGGTCCAGGTCCCTGATGTGCAGGCTCCCTTTTCTGCTCGCAGATGGGCACTTGCTCACCAACCGCTGCTCCTTTACCCCCCGACCCAATCAATTATAACAACAACAAACACCCCAAAACCGACCTGTGTCAATGATGATGCGGTTCTTGGACAGCTGCTCCTGGATCAGGATCACCTTCTCGGTTCCCTTGACCACAAAGTAGCCGCCGGGGTCCAGCGGACACTCGCCCAGCTTGGCCAGCTCCGCCTCCGACTTGCCCTTGAGCACGCAGCGGTCGCTGCGCAGCATGAGCGGCATGCGGCCCAGGAAGAGGGCGCCCTGTCCGTTCTTCCCTCGCTTCATCACGATCTCCTTGCCCCGCGTGTACTCCACGTCCACGGAGATGGGGGCGGAGTAGGTCATGTCGCGCAAGCGGCACTGCTGGGGCGAGATGTCTGTGACGATGTACTCCTCCTCGATGCTGGGCTTGCCCACGTAGATGTTCAGGTACCTGGTGGTGGTTTGGGGGCAGAAAATGGGGGTGGGAGAAGGGTAGGAGAAACAGGTGAGGAAGACTAAGACCCCCCCCTTGGTGGAGGAGTGCAGCCCTTGAGCATCTTCCTCAGCAACCCAGTAGAAAGCAACCCACTTGAGGTAGAAGTTGGGGTCGGTATCGCAGGTCACGCGCTCGTTGCCCTTGGCATGTATGATCTTCTTCATCTCATGGTTGATGAAGTAGTTGAAGGAGTCGATGTGCTGGCGGACCAGGCCCCGCACCCTCAAGAAGGCCGGCAGCAGCTGGTACTTGTCCTTCACCTCCTTGATCGGCTGGGTGAGCTTCGCAGGATCGCAGTCGTCGATGCCGGCATCGCCCAGCACGCTGTGCGGGGAGCCGGCATCGACAACCTTGGCACTGCTCCCCTTGGTCACCGGCATGGGGTCATGGCGCTGCAGCCCAGCGGCCTGTCAGCATGCTGCAGGCATCTGTGTATTGTAGTAGGTACTTCCTGATGCATCAACACACGTTTGGAAGCTCCCCAAGCCCCTTCAACAGTCTCGACGTATGACACTCGCGCCCTCTTCCTCGCCCCGTGGCCTGATGAGGGTACGCAGGTACCACAGCTGCGCCCCGTCCCGCCAGTTGCCCTGGCCCGGCCGGGCCCAATCTGTTCATTGCCGCTCCCTGGTAGCCGTGAACTCACATTACCGCTCTCTGTGACCTTCAGCACAGCAGGAATCGCCATTCCACCGGCGGTCGTTGCTGCGGAGCCTCAGCTGATCTCGCCTGCGAGACCCCACAGTTTGAATTTGCGGTCCCCACACAACCTCTGACGCCATGAGAGAGATCGTGCACGTGCAGTAAGTGGCTTTGGGAAGCTTGCAGTGGGCCATGGGGCCCATCTGGTGGTCCGGGTGGTCATCTGCCCCCCTGCACCTTGCTGCACACCGCTCATGACACCGCTCCTCCATTCCGCAGGGCCGGCCAGTGCGGGTAAGCATAGGACGCCAGTGCATCTCCCTCTGATTTCGTGTGTCGCTCGGGAAGCGGTTTCCGGGCCGTCGTCTTGCTGTGTTCCATACTTGCCCGAGGCCCGATCGCTCCTGCACTCCGGTTGTCGCATACCTCATACCCGCCCTCACCCGCCCCCCCACATTCACCAACTTTCTGTCCACAGTAACCAGATCGGCGCCAAGTTCTGGGAGGTACGCGTCGAATGGCGCACATTGGGCTTGTTTAGGCTCACCGCGCAGGCAGCGCCTGCTCACCTGGGTCCAGGGCCGACTCACAATCCCCAGTTCCCTCCCCCAGGTTATCTGTGACGAGCATGGCATCGCTCCCGACGGGTCATACGTCGGAGACAGCGACCTCCAGCTGGAACGCGCCAATGTGTACTTCAACGAGGCCACCGGCGGGCGCTTCGTCCCCCGCGCCGTGCTTCTGGACCTGGTGAGATGTCGCGGCAGGGGTTGTCTCTTTGTTGAGCTCCTAGCACTGTGGTGTAGTGTGAAGTAAGATACCCTGTCCCAAGCGCAAATTTGCTGCTGCCGGGGTTTAGCAGGCGCCGGGCACTCCTCACAACTACTGTTGCTTGGCGCCAGCCATGCCATGCCCTAGTCTACCCCGGTCCCCGCCATTGCCAAGCCCTGCACCCCTCTGCATCCCTCTGTCCACAGGAGCCCGGCACCATGGATGCCGTCCGTGCTGGTCCCATCGGCCAGGTCTTCCGCCCCGACAACTTTGTGTTTGGCCAGTCTGGCGCTGGCAACAACTGGGCCAAGGGCCACTACACCGAGGGCGCCGAGCTGATCGACTCCGTGCTGGACGTCGTGCGCAAGGAGGCCGAGGGCTGCGACTGCCTGCAGGGTGAGGTTGTGGGTTGCAGGGGTAGTTGGATGTAATGCGTGCGTCAGTTGGGTGGTTTTCCATAGATGAATGTATGGTCTTCGGTGGTTCATTTGTCGGCTGCATCTCGACAGCCACGAAGCCGTGCCCAACTCGGGACCGAGTTGCCCAGGCCCCTCCAAGGCCCCTCGACTGTCCACCCCTCACCGCCCCGCACCCTCCCACCCACCTGCCCCAGGTTTCCAGGTCACCCACTCCCTGGGCGGCGGCACCGGCTCCGGCATGGGCACCCTGCTGATCAGCAAGGTGCGCGAGGAGTACCCCGACCGCATGATGTGCACCTACTCGGTGGTGCCCTCCCCCAAGGTGTCCGACACCGTGGTGGAGCCCTACAACGCCACGCTGTCGGTGCATCAGCTGGTGGAGAACGCCGACGAGTGCTTCGTGCTGGACAACGAGGCGCTGTACGACATCTGCTTCCGCACCCTGAAGCTGGCCAACCCCACCTTTGGCGACCTGAACCACCTCATCTCGGGCGTCATGTCCGGCATCACCTGCTGCCTGCGCTTCCCGGGCCAGCTGAACTCCGACCTGCGCAAGCTGGCGGTGAACCTGATCCCCTTCCCCCGCCTCCACTTCTTCATGGTGGGCTTCACGCCCCTCACCTCCCGCGGCAGCCAGCAATACCGCTCCCTGAGCGTGCCGGAGCTGACGCAGCAGATGTGGGATGCCAAGAACATGATGTGCGCCGCCGACCCTCGCCACGGTCGCTACCTCACCGCCTCGGTCATGTTCCGCGGCCGCATGTCCTCCAAGGTGGGAGGGGGGCGGTTTGGGCGGGGGAATGGGATGTGCTCGACTGAGCAGACTTTGTAGTTTTCTTGGTGGGCGGGAGGGTCGATGGGGTTGCGCACCGGGCGGCACGTGTTGAGAGGTGAGCTTCAGATTAGAAGCTCCCCGTGCATGCTGGCGGCTTGCGGCCCACTTGAAGCTGCTGCTATGGCCGGTAATAAAATTCACCCCTCTGACTGCATGGCAAACCCCTCCATCCCCCTGACCATTCCCAACCCTGGCACTCGTTCACAGGAGGTCGACGAGCAGATGTTGAACGTCCAGAACAAGAACAGCAGCTACTTTGTGGAGTGGATCCCCAACAACGTCAAGTCCTCCATCTGCGACATCCCCCCCCGCGGCCTGAAGATGTCCGCCACCTTCATCGGCAACTCCACTGCCATCCAGGAGATGTTCAAGCGCGTGAGCGAGCAGTTCACGGCCATGTTCCGGCGCAAGGCCTACCTGCACTGGTACACGGGCGAGGGCATGGACGAGATGGAGTTCACCGAGGCCGAGTCCAACATGAACGACCTGGTCTCCGAGTACCAGCAGTACCAGGACGCCATTGCCGAGGAGGACGCCGAGGGCGACGAGGACTACTGAGCGGCGCGTGGGCCGGGAGGGGCGGGGGCGGCGCGCGCGGAGGCCGCAGGCGCACGGCGCTGCCCCCCTCCCCGACACCCCACGACCCTCCCCTACTCCCCCCCCAACTCCCCGACCCCTTACCCAGTCGTACTGCGCCATATGCTCTTGCTTGCCTGATGATCATCCCTCCCGACCTCAACCCAGCCCCCGGAAGCCTGCTGCCACGGTGGGCGTGTCGCTGCGACACTGAAACATCTAGATCGGGCTGTAACCACGACCAGGGACTGTGAAGGTACATGGCTGCACAGGAATGCAGTGCATGGAATGAGGAAACGACAGTGTTGGAGGGGCGTCATGCTCAGGCGAGGTGGGTGCACGTCATTTGTCTATTGCAGATCCTGGGCCCTGGCGTACCTCTGGGGCACTCAAATTCAGAAGGTGCCTACCCAGCTCCCGCTCCCAGAGGTGATCTAGCTGATTCAAATCTGCGTCGCTCCTTTGACCACCTGAGACGGCACCCTGTGTAGATGCTCAATTGTGTAGGGTGATATCCATGTTGCCATCGCATGCAAGGCTATTACTCAACAGAATCAAACTGACACGACGGCTGTGCAATTCTAGAGGTCCCAAACAGCTGGGGCTTTCCTGGCTGCCAGACGAGATGATGAGGTGCCCTTGAGGTGTACCTTGGGTATGCGTCCCCAAGTGACTTCAACAACCATTCCGTCATTGGCTTATCAGGGGGTCACAGCTGTGGTCAGTCATTGCCAACAGGCTGAGCAGGTGCAGTACAGCCGGTGATTGTACAATTTCATGTCAGGTGACGTGAGAGAAGCTGGCCTGGCAGATGACATACAAGTCCAGCCGCCTGCTTGTCGCGGGTTCGCGACGTTCTTGTGGCGATCGTCAGAGTTGGAGGGAGAAGCACCCTTCGCGCGCGGTGCGTCTAGCGCGACTCTTTGGGTGGCTGGGCCGGGATTGGTGACTTGTTCCTGCGCTAGGCATGGCCATGCTCACTCGTGGCCCATCCTCCCCGGCGGAGCCTCACTTCAACGCAGCGCTCCTCAAGCCAGGGGCGTCACAGCCTCGCAGCGCGCATCGTTTGGATGACAGTGCCTCCTCCCCGCACACTGCAGTACCCACTCAGAGCACCTCGTCCAGGAGGTTGTCCACCTCAGCCCTGCCCACCGTCTCCGGCCGGGCGGCGGTCTCCAGGGTGGTGGCCTCCTCGGCGTCCCCCGCCGGGTCCGCGCCGGGGACGAACAGCGCCTGCTTGGCCTCCTGCCGCGCCAGCACCACCTCCTCGATGCTGGCACCCACCAGCAGGCGATGCACGCAGACGGGGCGGATCTGGCCAATGCGGTGGACCCGAGCTACGGCCTGCTGCTCGATGGCTGGGTCCAGCGACGGCTCCAGCAGGAAGACGTGGTTGGCACGCACCAGCGTCAGGCCTGGGGTAGGGGGTGGGTGCGGTGGATGGGGAAGGATCTGTCGAGGTAGATGGAGTTTCAAGGTCTCAGGGGGACAGAGGTAGGAGCAGTGCAGAGAGTGCCAACGGGAGCCGGAGGGAGGAGAAACATCAGCCGTCTGACGCACCAGACCGCGGCCCCACCTTCCCTCAAGCAACCATTCGCTCTCCTAGTCGACCCTGCCAACATTCGCATCGCCTGGCTTGCGTCGCAAGACCGCACCGCGCACCTGCTGCTCCGGCGCGGTGAGAAAGCAGGAACACGCGGACCTCGTCGTCGTCCCTGAAATCAGCGATGGCCTTGCGCACGGTCTGCAGGCCCGGGAGCGTGAGGAGGAGGTGTTCTCAGAGGGGGCCAGGATCGTGAACAGAGCGTCCTCGAGCCATTGCTGGGACACAGGCAAAAGCACCTGCCTCATGACGATGCAGCCGGCCCCCCCTCTCCCTCTCCACGCGCCCAGGCAGCCAGACCCACCCCTCGGCCTCCGACCAGGGCCACGTGCTTGATGCCGTTGGTCTGCAGGGCCAGAGCCACCAGGTCCAGCGCCGCCACATGCTGGGGATGTGGTGGAGGAAAGCGGGAATGTGCTGGGTGAAGGGGGTGTTGGTCTATCCGACCTCTTCCAACCCTACTGCAGGAGTGTGGACGTGTTTCACAGGCTTGCATGATACCCCTTGTGCTGAAGTTTCATTCAGGGGGGGTGTTTATCTCCTGATTCCAGACCCTCCTCCCCCCCCCCTCCCATCAACCTACTACCTGGGAGAACACGAGGGACTTCTCCTGGGGCGCAGTCTCCTGCAGGTGCAGGACCCGGCGCAGCAGGGCCGTGATCTTGATGCTCCACTCCCCGCGCACGGGCGCCACCTGCGGGAGGGCAGGGGATCGCAGGGGTGGGTGGGTGTGAGGTGCGGTTGGCTGGCCCACCTCCGAGGCCCGGCCAGCGGGGCGGAGCTGGACCCAAGACACCCAGGCGCCCACCGTGGGGTGCAGCCTAGCGTCGGGGTCGCATGCCTCGGTGGCGCTGACGTCGGCGGTGCAGGAGGCCGCCACCCTGAAGACCTGCTTTCCTGTCACGCGCGCGCGGCAGACGGCGCAGCGCCCGGACTGCAGCACCTGCTGCGCCGAGCACTCCTTGCAGAAGGAGTGGCCGCAGCCGCCGAAGACGTACACGTCCTCGCCCTCCCCGATGACCTCGTAGCAGATGGGGCACTCCGTGCCGCGCAGAGCCGGCGCGGTCGGCGCGCGCTGCGCTTGGGAGGGCGGAGGGGCGTCCGACGTCTGCGCCCCGGCGGGCCCCTGAGGCCCTGGGGCCTGACCGGCTCCCAAGGTGCCCTGCGACGTCGGCCCGGCCGCCGAGGCGTCGGCGCTCGTTCCAGCTGCATCCGTGCCGGCCAATCCCGGGAGCTCCAGCGCCTTCTTGGCCTCCTCTGCGCGTCCCGCCATGTACCGCCTCCGCGCGGCCAGCTCCAGGGCCTCCGCCTTCAGGCTCTCCACCCGGCGGCGCAAGACCTCGGGTCCCGCCCGCTTCTCCGGCGGGTCGACGGCTGCCGCCGCCAGCGTGGCGTCGGTGTCCGCCAGCTGGGCCCTGCGCAGCCGCAGGGCGGCCTCCTGCACGTGCTCCTCGCGCAGCAGGCGCAGCAGGTGCACCTGGTTGGGTGTGGGTGGCGGGCGCCGGGCGATGGATGCAGTTGGGTGCTCTGACAATGCAGTAGACCTTGTGCACCCTGATTCCCCACACCTGTTCTACGAAGGGGGTGCGGCTGGTTCCATCAGTCACCTCCCCCTCACCATGCACAAAGCACCACGCAGCACGCACCTGGCTGCGCATGGCCTCGAGGCGGGCCTCGCAGGCGGGGAGGGGGAGCCGACTCAGCAGGCCCATGTCTTCGGGAGCCTGACCCCGGGCCAGCTTCTTCACGTGCTCGGTGGCGACGCGCAGGACCGCCTGCAGGCACGACTTCACCTGCTCAGGAGCAAAAGAAGACCGGGATGGGGGGATGTTTGGGCATCGGCGATGCGGGAGGCTAGGCGATGTGGTCATCATGGCGTCAGCTGCATTATACCATGACCATTGGCGAGGGCGCAGTGCGGTCGACCGCCTCTTGGAAAGCAGAGAGGCCTCTCACCAGGGTTGGGGTGTACAGCGGGGCAGCCTCCACGGGAGTGTCCGCGTAGTAGCCCAGCCCAGCCTCGCCCAGCTTGAAAACATACCCTGCCGCCGCGCCCATCCAAGCTGATGCCGCATGGAAGGGGGCCGCCTGCTCCGCCAGCAGCCGCCGCAGCTCGGCGGCCTCGTCGTCGAGCACTGCGGGCAGGTCTTCGGCACCGGTGCTGGGTCTCTCGCCGAACTGCGGCTCCGCTCCATTTCCGTCGTCAGATTCCTGCAGGACTCCCCTGGCATCGGGCCCAGCCCGTGATCCGGGGCGCGCCCGGCCGCGGCGCCCCTCCACCGCCTCTGCGGGGAGCAGGTAGAACCACTGCGACATGATGCGGCGGCGCTGGTAGTCGTGCAGCAGGGAGAGGACCGGCATGGCGCTCTCACATGCCGCCTTGAGCTCCGCCTCCGTCGACAGCTCTGCATTTGTGGAGGGGTTGGGGCGGGGGGTGAGGGGCGTGTGGCAGGCGGAGTATAGCTGCGACACATGAAAGCCCCTCGACAGACATCTTCGCCCAACACCCATGCTTTGCCACCCTGCCATCTATGGAATCAACCAGGACGAAGTCCATTCCCACCTTTTCCATCCCGGATTTCCCTTCTTTCCTCCCTGGCACCAACAGACATTCAACAGTAACACCGCTCACCCGTCAGGCTGGCCAGCGTCCTCTGCATCCGCGCCACCTGCGCCTCCGCCAGCGCGCCATTGACGTGGCGCTCCAGCGCGCCCAGCCCGCCCTGCAGGCCGGTGTCCAGGTGCGCCAGCAGCTTCTGCACGCGCGTGCCCAGCATGTGCTCCACCGCGGAGGCCTGGTGCTCCAGCTCCGCCGCCTCCGCCGCCTGCTCCGCGGCAAAGGCCGCACGCACGCCGGCCAGCCAGGCGGCCGGGTCCGGCGCGAGGTCCAGGCCCCAGGCTCGGGGGAAGCCGGCGGCCACGGCGGCGCGCCACCCCGAGTCCAGGACGCGCGCCGCGCCGGCGTACTGCCCCGCGGTCTGGGCCAGGCGCGACTCCACCTGCGTCACCTCCATCTCCGCCGCGGCGCGGACGTAGGCGGCCTTGTCCCGCGCGTCGCGCTCCATGGCCGCGCCGTCCTCGGTGCGGCCCTCGGCGCCGTACAGCGACGCCAGCTGGGCCGCGGTGTTCAGCTGGAGCAGTTTCCAGGCGTGCACCGTGGCCGAGGCGTCAGAGGGGATGTCAGGCATCGCGGCCAGGGCCTCCATTGGCCGGTCCGCGGCCTCGATGCCCTTCTCCGCCACCCTGGATGTTGAGAGGATTGACGAGGTAGAACATGGGAATCTGGTCGGGTGGAATGCTTTTCTTGTGCAAATTGCAATCACTACATCGACGGCAGGCACCCGCCACACAGTGAACCCGACTCTGCAACCCTTGGAGGCAGAAACATAATCGCAAAACCACACCCAATCAGAGAACGAGAACACCATTTACTCCTCCCTTCCACACCTGAAGGACTGCTCCAGCAGCTTGATGGCTTCCCTCCTCGCCTCGTCGGCGCTCAGCCTCCCCGGCACCGAGCGCCTGCGTTTTTGGGTCGAAGCGGACACCGTGCCGCCCGCGGCCGTGAGCGACTTTGGCTCTGCGGTCCCCGACCCGAGCGCTGCGGAGGGCGGAGGGTGGCCCTCCGGGGGCAGCTGGCCCGCCTTCACCTCCCTCTTCACCTCCACCCTGACCTCCCCGTCCACCGCTCCGGGGCTGGCATCCTCTGCGCCGGCTCTGGTCGCCACGCTCTCCACCAGCACCAGGGCCAGGGTGTTCAGGGTGGCGCACAGGGCGCGCTCCAGGTTCTGCAGCTCGAACTGGGCCTTGTCCACCAGGCGCTGCATGATTTCCTGCTTGCAGATATGTATGTGTGCGTGTTGTGTACATGTATAAGGGGTGGAAGTGTATCTGGAGCATTGGGAGGCAGGCAATTATATGGTGCGACCAATTGCTCAAAAATATGGCCAGAACTGGACGAGGCAGGGCACAGGTGCCACCCTGGCGTTGAGATGTATTACCCTCATGCAGCTGCCGGAGGCCCCCCCCCCTGGTGTGGTACCCCTTTGACCCCAGTAAATGCCTGCCCGCCCCCACCTCCATGCTGAGCGTCCCGCCCAGAGTCAGCTGCAGGTCGCTCTGCAGGTTCTTCCAGTGCCGCGTCAGCTGCGGGTGGGTACAGGCCAGGCGCAGCTGCGTCGCGCCCGCCAGCGCCTCCTCCTCCGCCCTGCTCAGCCCCGTCTTGGCCTTCTTGCGGTGCCCCTGCGCCTGGCCCGCGCGCCCCGCGCCACCCTCCCCAGCCCCACCCGCCGCCTCCTGCAGGAAGCGCAGGCGCGCGCGCGCGTCGCGCGTGCGCTCCAGCACCTGGCCGTAGAACTCGGCCTCGCCCGGCTGGAAGGCGAGGCGCGAGGCAGCCAGGCTGCGCGGCGGCAGCGCGTGCTCCTCCGCCACCACCGCCTTGGTGCTGCGCCAGAGCAGGGGCAGCAGCGCGTCGCGCAGCGCGCGCCAGGCCAGGTCGCCGCGCCCCGCGGCCAGGCGGCGGCGCACCAGGCGGCGCCAGGCCTCGGAGCCGCCCAGCGGGTCGTGGCCCAGCGCGATCAGCAGGCCGTGCAGGTCGTCCAGCTCGTGGAAGCCGCCCAGCGGCGTGCCGGTGACGCACCAGCGGTGGGCCGCGGACATGCGCTCCACCATGGCCCCCGCCGCCGACAGCGGGCCCACCATCTGCGCCTCGTCGACCACCAGCCGCCACCAGCGGATCTGTGCTTGTTTTGTGGCGGGGGGTGGTGGTTGGGGGGATGAGCGACGGAGAAAATGGCGTTGGAGGGGAAGCCCAGGGGGGAGAGCGGCGAGGTGTCGGGACGTGAACACGCAGCGTCGCGAGTGTGGATGGCACAGCCGCGACTTCGAGAGCCTGCATCTTGCCCTGGCTGTCACCCTCCCCCTCCACCCTCCATGCACCCCCTCCCACGCGCCGCCACCCGGCGCATCAGCCCCACCCTCTGACCTGGAGCAGGGGGCAGACCGGCACGTGGTACCGCTTGGCGTAGCGCAGCGACCCCAGCAGCTTGTTGTCCGGCGAGTAGTGCACCTCCTGCTTCAGCACCTCAAAGGTGGTCAGCACGACGTCCGCGGCGCGCAGCTTGGCGGCCGCCTCGCCCGCCTCGGCCTCCGGCGAGAAGGAGGGCCAGGGCGCCTCGCCTGCGGCCAGCCGGCTGTACAGCTCCGCCTCGCGCTGCGCCTGCACGGAGTTGGCACCGGGGAGGAAAGTGGGGGGACGGGTGGTGGCAGCACAAGCCGGCATGGGAAAGGAAGAAGGTGGGTGCGGGGCGATCTGGCCATCACGGAAAGGTGCGAGGCACGCCGCACACGCCCCTGGGTCCAGAGTTGCACCCCCCCAATCTCGCAACCCCCCTTCCTTCTCAAACAACCCCCAGGCGCACCACGGTCTGGCGCGACTCCGCAGGGGTCAGGGGCGCCAGTCCCCGCAAGCCGTCGTACACAGCCACCGCCACGCCCGGCCCCGCGTGGGCTGCCAGCTCAGCACGCCACTGCTGCACCAGGGCCGGGGGGCAGACGACCAGCGTGCCCCCGGGCATGCGCTGGTTGTCGGCATGGGGACTGGACGCGAGGGGGGCGGGCGGCGGGTCGCCAGGGTCGACGGGAGGTGACGCTGACTCTGCAGGCCTGTGAGAGAAGCCGTTGGGTAGGACGCCCTTCTCGGCATCAGGAGCTGCGGCGGGGCGAGGATTCGCCAGGATGAGTGCGATGATCTCCACCTGTGTTGCACAGGGGCGACTGGTGGTGGTGACCGGCACACAAGGTCCATTGCCCCTGCATGTATTGTGCAGCACGCATGAAGCCACTGGCAAAGGCCCCCGGCCATGCCAGCCCCTCTTCCACCTCCCCCCCCACCCCGCGCACCAGCGCACCGTCTTGCCCAGGCCCATCTCGTCACAGAGCAGGCCTCCCGGCACCTGTGGCGCCGCATCATCACGCGGCGCGGCGCTGACGGACCCCGCCAAGGCGTCGTAGTGCACCTCCTGCCCGCCGGGCAGGCGGGTGGGCTGGTATAGGCGGCCCAGGCTCTGCACCGCGGAGCGCACGCTGTCGGGGTCGGGACTGTGGGACTCCGACCCCGGTCGGAAACTCTCGCGCCACAGCATCCAGCGCAGCGCGCGCCGCTGGTATCGGAACAGGTGGCACAGGAGGCCTGTGCGGCAATTTCGGAGGGGGTGGGTGGGAGGCAGCCTCACATGCAGGAGTAGGAAGCACAGATGTGCAGCGCTGGGAGACCTCTGAATGCCCTGCTGGGCAGGCACCTTGCAGTACCGAACCCCCCACATCCTCTCCCACCCAAGCCACGTCAAGGCAGGCCCAATTCACTCCACCCTTTGCCTCACCCTCGGGCTGAGGTTGCTCGGCCTGCCAGTCGCCTGGGTGGGCCAGCTGGAAGATGCGGGCCCTGGGGTTGAAGGCCCAGGAATTGCCGTCCTCGCCGTCCTCGGCGGGCTCTGCCTCCATGTCCGCGAGCCAGTGCTCCATCAGCACCAGGGTGGCCTCTGCCGCCTGGCAGGAGAGCAAAGGTAATGCAGGTGGGGGATTCGCTCGTGGGGCGGGTTGCTTTGTCTAACTCGCAGTTCGGGTTGGAGGCACAGGTAGCTCATGGCCACGTGCTGCATTCAGGGGTGTTCACGCCCAAACTCCCGCCCTCCGTCATCTTGCCGCCAAGCGGCAAGCGGCCGACCCACCTCTGGACCGGGCGCAGGGTCGAAGAAGGTCGGGAGGAGGGTCACGGAGACTGTGGCGAGCAGGGCCAGCTGTAATCGCGGGTCCCGGGCTCCTGCCGCAGCCTGGCTGCCGCCGCTCCTAGTGCGCTTGGCAGGGTTGGGTGGCGGGGCACCATCGCACCACTCCAGCGAGGGCGGTCCCAGCTCCACCCTGGCATCGCACACCAGCCAAGAGACGGCACGTGGCACGGCAGTCAGGCCGTGCCTGAGCTTGAGGCTTCCAGAGGCTGCCACCTTTGGGGGGTAGGAATGGGGGAGCAGCGAAAGGTAGTCATTGGCGAGTCCCTGTGCGCAGGACACACCTTCCCTGCCCTGCAAGCATCCCGGCATCTGACCTGGCCATCTGCCGTCACCAGGCGGACTTGGTTGTCCAGACAGGCAACGGAAAGCTTCTTCTCGGAGGGGAAGCTGGGTATCCTGATCACCGAGGAGGAGTGGCAGGCTGAGGAGATTTCAATCCAGCGACAGCACAGTTGTGCGGTAGTTCAAGCTTTTAGAGTTCCTATCCAAGCTCCCTGGGTCCATCTCCCACCAATTCACCTCTCAGCATCCACCAATAATCGAAAGGTGACGAAACCGGCTGGAGAACTGGGGAGCGTCTCCCCTGGGGATGTATCGCCCATGGGGCTCCTCAGCCGACGAGCAGCCGACGGCAGGTCTCCACCATGGACAACAAATGAGCACTACAGGGTACATTCATACGAGACCGTAATTGTCCCATCGCCTTGCTGGACAGAGTTCGACAAGGTGGAACTCGATCTGTGTCACTTTGCGCGCGCTGTACATGCGGTGCACGGGAGTTGCGAATTACGAGCCTGTGAATATCATCCTCGATGTGTGCGATGTGCCACATTTGAAAACATTCTCCTCGAAGCCCTCAATAGCTGGGATTTGGGCCTGCAGGAGCAGGGCGCGCGATGTCGGTGGGCTTTCTCCCTCCGGGAGCTCTGGAGGCGGAACTGGACCGATGCAAGAAGTTGGAGGATGAGGCCAGGCGGCAGCAAGAGGTTAGACGTGGTCTCTAGAGAGACATGTGTAGAAATGTACTGCTCGTCCGTCCCGGGGCCGCACCTTTCAACCTTCGCCGCTTTTCATCGCAGAGGGCTGCCCGGGAGGTGCAGGCCGCTCAGGACCGGCTCGACCTCGCCCGGCTGCACCTCACCACCTGCGCGTCTCAGTGCCGGCAGGCCCGGGAGCACCGGGACGACGTGGACGCCGCGCTCCAGGCTGCCAAGGTCCTGGCCGCCCACTTCGCCGCGGTGTGGGAGTCCCGCGAGCGGCAGCTACCCCAGACCCTGCGCGCCATCCGCGAGGCGGAGGGGGAGGAGCGCGACGCGCGCAAGGCCATTGCCGTGGCCGAGGGCAGGCTGGCCACGGCGGTGGAGGAGCGGGAGGCGGCCGACGACAAGCTGGTCTCCACCAGCCGCGTCATCGGCAAGGTCCGGTCCAAGGCCAGTGTTGGCCTGAAGAAGTTCCAGGACGAAGTGGAGGAGGTAGGATGAGGGTTTGCACATGGGGCAGGGGTAGGTTGGAGGGCTCTCGGAAAATAAGTGTGGCTGTAGGGTAGATGGCGTAGAGGCTGAGTGGGCACCTGAAGACCGCTACTTGAACGATGTCGCCGGTTTGTGTGGTGCCACGATCCTGGACGCAACCCTGAGCAGTAGAAGCAGCGTCTCCTTGGCGTGCATGCCCAAGCGTCTGCGGGAATCTCATTCATGAGGGGCGCAGGCGCTGCAGCTTGCCCCTGGATGAGCAAATCACCTGGAGCCTTTGACCACGGCGCCGCACCGACCCGGCCCGCCACCTCCTGCGCAGGAGCGGCTGCGAGCCCAGGCCGAGCGCCTGGCAGCCACGGCCGCCGTCCAGAAGGCGCAGCAGGTCGCCGCTGCCTCGCTGCAGGCAGCGCAGCCGGCCGCCGCTGCCCCCCAGGCGCCGGCCGGCAATGGCGCCCCGGCCAGCGGCGCGCGGTCTTCCGACCCAGAACGTCACCGCGCGGACGCGAGTCGCCCCGCCGACGACCGCGAGTCCCAGCAGGCACGCGCCAGGCCCGCCGAACGCAGCGGGCAGGAGGAGAGGAGGAGGGGCCGCAGCCCAACACATGGGCGCAGCCGGTCGCCGGCCGCCGCGAAGAGGGCGCGGCAGGTGGAGGGACGCAGGTCACCGGGAGCGCGAGGGGCGGGAGCGGGCACGCGGGGGAGGCGTGGCGGGTCGAGGGAGCGCACCACTGGCGAGGACCGCGAGGCCGTGGCGGGCACCCGCCCTCGTGGCGAATTGAGCGAGCGCCCCGCGCGCGAGGAGCGGGAGGCAGCCGCAACCACTGGCCCGCGCGGCGCTAGGGAGGATATGGCGGAGGCTGCGCGGCGGACCCGGGATCGCGACGGCGGGCAGGAGCCCGCGGGTCGGCAGCGGGCGGGCCGCGGTGTTGCTGACGAGGCGCGGGCCGAGCGGGCCGAGGGGCCCCCGGCGCAGCAGGGCTGGTATGAGCGGCGCGGGGCGGAGAGGGACGCGCCGCGCAGCCTCGAGCGCAAGCTGGCGAAGGGCGGGGAGGACGTGGGCCCGTCGCGGCGCCGCAGCCGCAGCCGGAGCCCCCTGGACGTGCTGCGAGAGCCGCCGTCTCGCCAGGACGGGCGGAGGGCCAGTCCGTCGCGCCAGGACGGGCGGAGGGCCAGTCCGTCGCGCCAGGACGGGCGGAGGGCCAGTCCGGCTCTCCAGGACGGGCGGAGGGCCAGTCCGTCGCGCCAGGACGGGCGGAGGGCCAGTCCGTCGCGCCAGGCCTCGCCTGGCCCGTCTCGTCTGTCCCCAGTGCCGCGTGGGGAGCGCCACCTTTCGGTCAGGTGAAGCGGCGTCTGGGCTGGGATGTTGTAGTGCCGCTCAAGACGGCCCACGAATGGCAGAGTGGCCGACAGCAGGTGCCTGGCGGCCGGCGCTGGGCCGCTGCTGATCTCCGGCGTGCGCCATGGCTGGCAAGGGTGTTGTATCTGGCACGCCAGCGAGGGGATCCAACCGGGGGCACTCGAAAATCGACGCGATGTGTCGCCCGGCTCCACTCTTCCGCACCCCCCGCCCAGCGTGGCCCCGCGCCCAAAAATCCCTTACGTGCACAGGATCCAAGAGCAGTTTGTGGCGGCCCTCAAGGAGACTGTGGCCGTGAAGCCCCTACCCATGAACCTCAGCTTCTTGGCCGACACATTGAGGAAAAGGAACCCCGACTGGGATGTCAAGAGGGACACCGGGGACACATTTGCCACACTGTGCGAGGTGAGGCACGTGGAGGAGGGAGTGGGGCGCGGGGATGTAACGAGTCCTTAGGCTGGCGGGGGGGCGCTGCAAAGGAGCTGTCCACCAGGACGCACCGGTGCTGTGACCTGTGCCAGGGCCTCTAGGGGAGGGTTTTGCCCGGGGGCGGCGCCATGGGTGAGCTTGGCAAGGGCCCCACTGCACGCCCAGACAAATCTACATCCCCATTCCCCCCTTCCGTGCCTGGCAGCACATGAGCCGGCTGGGGCACTTGACTGTGCAGGCTGATAGGCATGGCAAGATGATCGTCGCTTCCCGGCATGCATCGGGTGCCACCCCGGCCATGCTGGCGGCCGGGAGCGGTCCCAGCAAACGGCGCCCCAGGGGCGAGAGGGACCGGATGAAGAGGGAGCGGCAGCGCTCACCCCCTGGTTCGCCCGGCCCAAGAAGGAGGGAGCGGCAACGCTCTCCCCCCATGTCGCCCAGGGAGGTGCTGGACATCCGTGACAGGAGACTGAGGCGCGGCGACGACGACGACGGCGACCGCTGGGAAGGGGCGTGATGCAATTCAGAAGCTTCTTGGCCCATGCACAATAAATGCAATGTTGTAAGGATTCGGACCCCGGGACCGCAGCGTGCACATCCCAAAGAGGCAACCTGGTCCTGCTGCTGGGCATGCTGCCCCCCATCAGAACCCGGGCTCCGGGGACCCTGCTAAGTAACGCCACCCATGCAGGAGGGTGAGGGAATCACGAACACCTTGAGCAGTTTAAAGCTTTCCAAACACTTGAAATCACGGGGTGAAGGCGATCACAATCTACGGATCGCGCGTCCTTCCTGAGCAGGTTCTCCCCCAGGATCACCCCACGATTCTGAAGTTGGCTGCCGGTCCGGCGCCATGTCTCGGAGATATGACAGTCGCACAACGATATTCAGTCCCGAGGGGCGTCTATACCAAGTAGAGTGAGCCGGAGCCTGTGTCCGGAGTCCCGTGGATCACCATCACCGCCCGCACGCTCCTGATCGCCCGGTGCTTCCGTGTATGCGTGCAGGTATGCGATGGAGGCCATCTCCAATGCCGGGTCGTGCGTAGGAGTTCTGGCCACGGATGGCGTGGTCCTGGCAGCGGAGAAAAAGATCACCTCCAAGGTGCGTGTGGGGGTGTGGTTGGTGGCCCTGTGCTTCACCCTACTCCCGACCCAGACACCAGCCGCGACCGCGTCCTCACCCTGCACTCCCCCCCTCGACCCGCAGCTGCTGGACACCACTGCGGTGGGGGTCAAGCGGGAGAAGCTGTACCAGCTGGACGACCATGTGGCCTGCGCGGTGGCGGGGATCACCGCCGACGCCAACATCCTGGTGAACACGTGCCGGCTGCACGCCCAACGGTATACACTGCAGTTCCAAGAACCCATCCCCGTGGACCAGCTGGTGCGCGCGCTGTGCGACACCAAGCAGGGGTACACGCAGTACGGCGGCCTGCGCCCCTTTGGCGTGTCCCTGCTGTATGCCGGCTGGGACGAGCACCGCGGCTTCCAGCTCTACCAGTCCGACCCCAGCGGCAACTATGGCGGCTGGAAGGCCACCAGCATTGGCGCAAACCACCAGGCGGCTACCAACGTGCTGCAGGGCGACTACGCCGAGGATGTCGACCTGGAGCGGGTGAGGGTTGGTTGGTGGTTGAGTTGTTGAGGCCGCAGGGGTTAGGGTGGGGGAGTGATAACGTCGACCATATCCTCAGTCCAGTGATGGTCCATCGAGGTTGTTCTGCCGGCAGCGCTGCAGCCTGGGACCTGCAGGGCACTGGTCTCCCATCGAGATCCCTTCCGGGGTGGGCAGCCTGGCATGGCTTATTCAAAGAATCAAATCAACACTCCCATGCATGGCCATGTTGCAGATGTCGTTGCCAAACATGACAAAGCTCACCCACCCACTCCTCCCTCTCTCACAGGCTGTGCGCCTGGTGATCAAGGTGATGAGCAAGACCATGGACAGCACCACGCTGACCCCCGACAAGGTAGAGTTGGCCACGCTGTCCCGCACCGACGCCGGCCGGCTCGTGTACCGGGTGTTCACCGCTGCCGAGCTGCAGCCGGTGCTGGATGCGGTGAACAGCGAGCAGGCGAGGGAGAAGGCCGCGGCCAGCTGACGCGCCGGGCGCCGACGAAGGGGAGGGGGGTGGGGGCGAGTAGGAGGAGTGTGCGTGCGTGGGTGGCGCCGCAGGCTCAAACCCCTGCAGGACGGGGCTCTGGTGCGCAGGTCCCATGTTTGGATGGAAACGTCATCCCACGAGTCCCTTGCACTCTTCTCGAGAACAGTTTCCCCCTTGCCTGCTCAGACACGAGGCCGCCACGGCACCCTGCACCTGCTCCTTTCCTCATGGTCACTGCACATGGCCACCCGCTGTAGAGTAATCTCAGTTGTCAGTCTCAATAGAGTGGTTTGGGCAGTGGCTCACATGTGCTGCCCCGGAGCCGGCCTGAAGACACGGGAGTGCCATGCCTGTGCCGCGCTCTGGAGCAAGAACCGCCGGCGCATGTTCTGAGAAATGCATGCGACCTTGCCGCCGCCGTCGGGTCTCACAGGGCGGGCATCTAGCACTGCCAGCCTCCCGCCCGCACCGACCGCCACGTCAGCCCTCCCGGAACAGCGCGACCGTCTCCCGGGGCAGCGCATGCGTCTCACGGAGCGCGTGCGCGGCCAGGCCCTCTGCCACGGCTGGCGGCAGATCGGCGCGCGCGGCGCGCAGCTGCGCCGCCGGCAGCGCGAGCAACGCGGGGAAGGTGGCGGGCGCGCCCCGGCCCGCGGCCAGCACCCAGCCGCGCCAGGCGCCGGGGTCCTCCCACACACGCCCCTCCGCCAGCGCGGGCAGCACGGTGCGCGCGACGAAGGCGGCCAGCCCCGGGCCCGAGGCCTGCGCCTGGAGCGCGGTGCGCAGGAGCAGCGGCGGCAGCGGCACGCGCGTGAGCAGCGCGGAGATCGCGCCGGCCACCGCCTCGGCGGGGAAGGCGTCGGGGTCGGCCAGGCAGTCGCCCAGCGCCGCCATCACGGCGCGCACTCCGCCGGGCACGGCGACGGGGTCCAGCCCGTGCAGCGCGACCAGCAGCTCGGAGGGCGGGACCAGGCGGTCGGCCGCCGCGCCGCGCAGCGCGGCGCCGGCCTCGGCCCCAGGCAGGCCCAGGAGCAGGGGCAGGCGGGCCAGCAGGCCTTCACGCCCCAGACCCCGCAGCAGCGGGACCAGCGGGCGCGCGTCGCACGAGGCCTGCGCCAGGTCGGCCGCGGCGCGGACCAGGCCCTCGGGCAGGGCGGGCAGGGCCGAGGCCAGCGCGTGCAGCATGCCCAGCGCCAGGTCCATGCAGTTCTTGTTGAGATGGAGGGGATGGGGGGGAGCAGGGGTGGGTGTGTGGGAGGGGAGTCGCGATCTCAGGCATCAGGGTGCCGGGGCCAGGAGCTCAAGGCATGACGGGCTGCATGCCGACGGCCATGGGACCCAACCAGGCGTGGCCGAGCACAGGGACTGGCTCGGCCCGCTGACACCCCTGCGCACCTCCGGCAGGTCCGCCAGCGCGCCGAGCAGGTCCCGGGAGGTGGGCCCCAGCGTCGTGGCCAGGCCGCCCGCGTACTTCAGGATGCCCTCTCGGCCAGAAGCTGCCGGGATGTGGGGGGGAAGCTTGGTCATGTGGTGTCGCTCCTGCGCATCGACACGCGCAGGCACAGGTCGCGTGAGGTGTCCTCACAACCCGGCCCCCCCCCTTTTCACACCCACCAGATGCGCTGCCAAAGGCCTCGAACAGGCGTGGCAGCAGGCCCGGCTGCCGGGTGCAGAGGGCGCAGAACAGGGCGCAGGCCGCGGCGGGGTCGACGACGGACCCCGTGCCCTCGACTGACGGCGCCGCGCCCTCGCCGAGCTCCCGCTTCACCGCAGTAGCCTCGGTGTCCGCCCTTGCCTCGACCCCCGCGTCCTCTGACGTCGTCGCCGCGCCATCGGTGGCCTCCGCTTTCACACGCGCCGCCGCCGCGCCATCGGCTTCCTGCTGCACCCGCGCCGCCGCCGTGCCATCGGCTTCCTGCTTCACCGCCGCGCCGTCCTCGCGGACCACGAGCTGGCGCAGGCTACGCTCCGCCTCACGCAAGATCTTGGGTTGCAGCCGGCCGCCCAGGCATCCCCACAGCCGGTTGGTGAGCAGGCGCACCGCGCGGTCCCTAACCCCCGCGTCCTCGCTGTGGGCCGCGGCCAGCACCGCCGCCAGGGCCACTTCTCGCGCCGGCGGCCGCGCCAGGATCAAGTCGCGCGCCGCCAGCAGGCCCAGCGTGGCGTGATCAAGGTCGGTCTGCATCAGGCCCTCGAGGGTGTCGCGCAAGAGCTCCGCCGGCAGCGCAGGAGCAGACAGGAGGACACTGTACAGGTTGGCATGTGGAGAGTGCTTGCTGGAGATGGAATGCCCAGAGAGACGCAGGGAGCAGGGTTGGGTACCCCCAACAAAGTGAACTCCCCATTGCCAGGCGTGCTTGTAATCGACCAAACCCCCTTGTCACCTGATCAGGGAGCGGTCGGTGGGTGGCAGCGCGCGGCGCACCAGGTCCAGGGCCTTGGAAAGGACGGCACGATAGCCGTCGCCCTGCTGCCGCTCTGTGACCGCCTCGTCCTCACCACCCAAGTCCTGTCGGCCCTCGGCGGCAAACGCGGCGTGCAGGAAGTCGAGCACTGCCTCCACCCCTCCCCTGGCATGAAAGTCGGTGCCCAGCTCCTCCAGGAAGGGCCCAGCGAGGTCGGCCTGCGTGGCGGCGAGTCGCGGCGCGAGCCAGTGCCCGAAGCCCCCCGCGGCCGCCGCCAGCCGCCGCATGGTGAGCGCCCGGAGCCTGGCCGCCTCCCCGGCACTCAAGGGTAGGGGATCGGTGGTGAACCTGGCCACTAGGCCCGCCGTGCCGGCGGGGAGAGGGGGCGTGGGCGTCGCAGCAGTGGCCCCCGCAACCAGGGGTGATGGCGAGGGAGCTGCCGACCTGGCCGGCTGCCTGCTCGCATCTGTGACAGGGGGAGGTACCACCGCGCTGGCGTTCCCGGGAGCAGCCATGCGCCGGAGCAGGTCCTCCTGCCAGGCCGGCAGGGGGGCGCCGTCGGCGGCCAGCGACGCCGGCGCCCCCCCGGGCGGGTGCAGCCTCGCCAGCACCAGCTCGGCGGCTGACTCGGCGTCCAGAGACGCGTACAGCGCCGCCAGGCCGGCGCTGTCGCCCCGCGCAACCAGCTCGTCGACCCTCGTCGCCAGCTCCGCACCGTCTGCCCGTGGGCTCTCGACAGGCAAGGCGGGCCCTGCGGGCTCCGTGGCCCGGTCCTCGGTGCAGGGACGCTTGGCCGGCGGGGGGCGGGGGTCCTCTGCCGGCCGACCCGGCGCCGACTGGCTTGGCTTGGATGCCGCCGCCCCATCTCTCCCGCCGGCAACCACACACGCCTCGCCAGCACCGTCCTGCGTCCCCCCACCCCCCGCCAGGTCGGCCAGGGCCCGATCCACCTTCCTGGCCCAGGCCGCCGCCAGCGGGTGCGTGCAGCGGCGCACCTGCGCCAGGGCCGCGGTCAGCGCCTTCCTGGTGGCGGGCGGCAGGGTCACTGACTTGCCGTCATCCCTGGCCGTTGGCGTGCCACTTTCAGTGGTCGCTGCCGTGCCGCCGTCCCCCGATGTTGTTGCCGTCTCGCCCACCATCGTTGCCTGCCGCGCGGCGACCGATAATAGTGCGGGCACCAGGCGCGGCATGAAGTGCGGGCGCTGCGTCGCCAGCGCGCCCGCAGCGCGCAGCGCGGCCTCGGCCATGGGGCCGGGCGCCGCATCGCAGGTGCGCACCACCGCCGCCACCTCGCGCGCCGCGGCGTCTGCCTCCTGTGCCAGCCCCGCGCGCGTCAGCACCGCGTGCGAGGCCGGGAGGGCCGCGGGCGCGGGGCTGAGCCCAGGCACGGCCGGCAGCCGCTCCGCAGACAGGAGCAGCGCCGCGCTTTCCAGGCCGCGCAGGCAGGACACGCGCGCGGCATCGGTGGACGCCGAGCGCGCGCCGGCGGCCAGGCCGGCGGGCATGGCGCGCGCCGCCTCCCAGACCTGCGCCTGCAGTGCGGGCTCGGCGTCAAGGGGGGTGAGCGCCACACGCACCAGCGCTGCGCGGAACAGCGGGTGGGCCGACTGCGCGGCGCGGCGCACCACGGCGGCCACCGGGTCAGCCAGCAGGCCCGTCAGGCACATCAGGCACTGCAGCAGGCTGTCCAGGGTGGGCAGAACCTGTGCGGGGGTGGTGGGGCGAGTGATGAGGGAGTTGAAATCAGCAGGGTGGTGCTGGAAGCAGGGTGTGCAGCCGAATGCTCAACGGCTGCGGCTGGGAGGATCGTGCAGGGTGCTGGTGGCTGTCGGTCCCTTCTTCCACTGACAGGAGGTGCAGCACGTGTTTGCTGGCCGGTTGCTTCATGTACATCCTAGAAAGCATGTCGCCCAGCCTGCTCGCACACAACTCCATGCCTGGAGCACGCCATCGATGACGTCGGGCAAGACGCGGCGCAGTGCCGACTCAGGCTGCAGCCTGAGCTCCAGGATCTCCGGCAGGAGGGCGGGCATGAGCTCCTGGGGGTGAGCGTGCACCACCAGCTCTCGCAGAGACTGGAGTGCGCTCGCCTAGGGTGGGAGTGCCAGGGGTGGCCGGAAGGGGTGGGTGTCAGATGATCAGGGAGCCTCAACAAGGGAACGATGGCCTCACCATCTCGTGGATATGCGACAGCCTACCTTTGAAGCGGCATCGGCGCCCAGCCGCGCATCTTCCAGCAACTGGACTGCCTGGTTGTATGCGTGGGACATCCCAGGTTAGCGGGCTGCAGTCACATCCTGGTTCTCTCCGCGCAATGTACCGATGCTGGTATGGCCTGCATTTTTTACCCACAGAAATCCAAATGCATTGTCTCCGATCGGCTTCTCAAGCGAGGGTGCTCACTCCGCACAGAGACAGGTCCTGTCGGTGCCTGCATGCGCGCGCGCAAGGTTTGGCAGGGTTGTCGCCAAGCTTAAGATCAAGCGCGTATAGCATTGGCGACGCCTGGCTTTCGCTTAAATATGAGACCGGATTATTTTGCTAGCTTCGCAGGGCAATTTTGCTAGCTTCCTTCCGTCAATACAGTTCGATGACACAACTACCTCAGTGGCAGTATTGCGCCCTTCGCAATCGATGCGGACCCTGCATCGGGATTGATGAAAGCTAGGGCATATGTCTACTGCCGAAGAGGTAAGTAGTGCGAGGGTGAGTGTCGCGAATCAGCTTGTCACCCCCTCCATGGCGCTCACAGATCACTTCCACCTCGCAGGCCAATGACGCCCGCCGCGCGGCGATCGCGGATGTCCAGCGCCTCCTGCAGCACCCCGATGACCTCAAGAAGCTCCCGGCACTCCGACAGGAGTATCTCATGCGCCAGCAGGTGCTGGTGATGGGGGTCCCCGGTGTCACACCCCCTCTGCTGATGGCAAGACAAGCCCAACAGCATGGAAGTCACCATCCGCATCGTGCAACTGGCCCCATGCACTGAATACAGAAGCACCTCTTTCTACAAACCTGCACACAGGGGAACAAGGCCGCCCTGAGCTCCGCCGTGGCCGCCCAGATCGAGGCCACGCGTGGCGGGGTGGAGATGCTGAACACCGCCCTGGCCGCCATCCAGGCCCTGCGCTCCGACTTTGCGACGATCGAGGCGCTGTGCACGGAGAGCGCCTCCCTCATCCAGAGCCACGACAAGATCCAGCTGCTCAGTGCGGTGCATGGCAATCTGCACAGCACACTCAAGGTGCACGGTGGCGTGATGTGCTTGTGAGGGTGTACGGGGTAGGGCATGCCAGGGTGGTGAAGGGTGGAGTGGACCACGGGAGGTCTGCGCGAGGGGTCCAGCATGCTGGTTCCCAGGCACCGGCCAGGAGACCACGGATGTCCCAGCACGCTCACCGCACCACCGCACCCGCGACAGGACGTGGAGAACATCGTGGCGCTGCCCAGGGAGGCGGCAGCTGCCCAGCAGCTCCTGGACGGCGAGGCGCCGCTGCTCCAGGTGTACCAGCGGCTGCTGGTGCTGGAGGGCACCAGCATCAAGGCGCAGGCCGCACTGGAGAGCGGGACGCAGGTCAACCTGAAGGAGGCCAAGAACCTGAACTCTTACTTCCAGCGGGTAGACGAGTGCTGTTGAGGCGGGGCCGCTTCCATTTCGATCGGGGGCGGGTCATGGCACGAAAGGGTACTCAGCACAAGTGTGGGCAGATGCGTATGCACAGCCGTGCCAGGCTTCCAGAACCCCTCCAGCGCCCCATGCGCCCATGCCTGTGTCCCCTTCCCCTTTCAAGGTCCGTGCCGCGCTGGTCAAGTTTGAGGAGCGGCTGTGGTCTGTGGTCCGCGCCTTCCTCCCCCTCAGCCGGGGCAATCCGGGGCAGCTGATCGACGCGCTGCAGGTCATAGAGCTGCAGGACGCCGTCGACTCCGCGCTCGTTGCTGCTGGGCAAGGTGCGAGGGTCGGGGTCGTGGGGAGGGAAGTGGGTGGGGGGGGGGTCTGGTGCAGTGCGAGGCAAATCATGCGCAAGACGGGTGAGTGCACCTGCGCACTCGCCGCACCCACGGGCCACGCGCCGCGCCGACTCACCGATCCCCGCCCTCCCACTGGCCGATGTGCACAGTGGGGCACCCCCTGAGGAAAGCATGGCGGCGGCGCTGCATCGGCCAGCTGGGCATGTCGGTGCAGGAGAGGTTTGCGCCGCTCCTGGCACGCTGCTCCCGGCTGGTCATGGCGGGGGAGAACACCGACGCCCAGGTCTCCGCCATCCTCGCAGACGCCGACGCTTTCCTCGCACAGGCGCGCCGGGGAGGCTCTGAGTGCAGCGAGCGGTCCAGGGTCGGGGGCGGGTGGGGCTGTGGCCACTGACATCGCTTGTTGCTGGGGATTTGGCGGCGGGATGGATGGGTGAGAGCCGAACAGCACCTTCCCAGGTGCAGGGCCGCACTCGTCGTCCCCCTCAGCACCCCGGCCCCCCTCCCTCTGCGCAGCTCCCCGACGTGTACGAGTATGTGCAGGTGTGCTTTCCCCCCTCCTACTCCGTGTTCGAGGTGGTGAGCGCCGAGTACTGCACCCACCTGGCCTCCATGCTGGACTTCATCGGCCTCTGCGCCGAGCAGCTGGCAAACGAGGACATCCTGCGGGTGGTGGGCTGGGTGGGCGGCGCGGGCGACGCGCTGTGCGCGCTGGGCCTGCCCCCGGGTCGCGCCTCCTTCCCGGGTGAGGGAATCTGAGGGGTGTTGGTTTTGGTC